TTTATTAGCAAGTATTCGCTAAGCCAGTGGCATTGTCCCAGAGCAGAATGAGCACGTCAGACCTGGATCTCAGACATAGCAAGTATTTCTAGAGAGCCGGAGACAAGCATTAAGTGACAAAACAGACACCTGAGCCAAGTGCTGGCCTCTCTCAGTGCTCAGTGTTGTCCAGAATGCGACAGGGGGCGCTGTCACACTGGCACGGGTGCCTCTCAGCCACAGGCGGAGGAGCCACGCCAGAGGACCAGCTATGAAGGAACCAGCACTTGTCCCCAAGTGTGCCCATGGTACTAGAAAGGCCCAGGAGGTCCCGGGGAGGTAACGTAGCTGCAAATTCAAGTAGTCATGTTTGTTCCTCTATGGGGAGATCAGGCTGTGGTGGTAAACTCACACACAGCCGACTAGCCAGATACCATCAGGCTTCCTTGACCAGTGAACTCTATGGTGTGACCAGGGTTCCTGCCGGGCACTTCCTGGAACCAGCGAGTGATTTAGAACTGGCACTAGGTGATCTCAATGGCCCCTTAGTCAGATCATGAGGCTGGCCCAGACAATTCTCAGGGACACCATTAACAAATGAAAAGACATTCAACCTCACGCTCATGCATAATTGAAGAAACACACGTTGAGATTCAATATTTTCATCCGTCTGCTGTTTAAGAGCTAAGGAGATTGATAACATGCGGCCCTGGTGAGCCTGAAGGGAATGGCCCTTAGAGACTGTTTGCCCGGCTGACTTTGGGTCATTTGGAACTACCCATCACATATGACACTGTGACCACGCTCAACTGTCTAACTTGACTGAATCCATTCTGAGATATTCAGAGAAACGCTCTTTTAAAACCACCGTACAAGAATGGGGATGGAGTTACACCCATAGCTTGGGCCGCTGAGCAGCCACAGTAACAGTTCAAATGTTCACCAGCAGGGGCAGCGTACTGAAAATAAAGACGCACATAGCAACAACAGCTGAGAGCAGTTAAAATCACCCAGGAGACTACCACACCAAACGTCACTCATGCAGGGCCAGTCCAGACACTAACCCCCAATTTAACCTCTGGATTCCCATGATGGAAATGGCTTCTATCTATCCCCCGGTGTCAGCCTATCTCCTAAATGGGGACGTTACAGTGGATCAGGCTCCACTGAAACCCTAACGGTCAAAAGAACCGACTCCACCTCTAGCTTTGGATGGAGACCCAACCTTCCAAGCTACCCAAAACATAAGAGTTAATCCATTGGGCCTATCAATCATCTGACCAAAGAAACACCCATCAGAAAGGCTGATTCACCTTAGGCCAGGCTAAAGAGATAAAGTGCTTTCCCTTCCCAGAATCCCAGACCTCTCAACAGTCGATACAGAACCAAAAGCTGTGTTAGATCTGGCCTCTGAGTGAGTCCTGACCCGGAAAGATGCAACTCCCTCTTTGTCCTCTTATCTGTCTCTGATGCTAGCCAGTGTCCCTGTACACCTCCCTACGTGTTTTGGGCTTTTTCATCCTTTCTCTGGTGCTATGCTGACACCCCTCCCCACACATATGGTATACTGACCCTCCATGCCTAACTCAAAGTGAGGAGAGAGGAGAGAGGAGGGACCACAGTGGACACTTGTCCTACTTTCCAGCATCTGACCCATCTGGTCCAGAGGTCCTGGTAACTCACCTCGCTTAGGATGTCCTACCAAGGAGTTGGAAATGGCCTCGGCACCAGGGCTGTGGCTGTGGAGCATCGACACCGAAGTCCGGCTCTTATTCCAACAGAACCCAAAGACTTGGCAGTACTTGGACTTCCCGCCTCTTACATTTGAGTAAAGGATACGCTATCTGCGATGGTAGGCTGACCGGACACAACCTGGAATTACCTGGGATGAGTTACCTAGATCAGGTTAGCCCGTGGGGATATCTGTGGGAGACTGTCTTGGCTGGCAGTGGATGTGGAAAGACTCAGGCCACTGCGGGTGGCACGGCTCCCTAAGCAGGGAGTTCTGAACTGTACAGGTCGCGTTAAGCTCAAACACACAAAGCGCGCTTACTTCTCTCTGCTCTGGATGGGAGATGACTATCTGCCTTGAATTCCTGCCTTGACTTCCTTCAGTGGCAGACTGTATCCTGGAATAAGCCTTTCCGCCTCTAAGTTGGGTTTTGTCCTTTGGTCACAGCAATCAGAAATGAAACTAGGACACTAAAAAGTACGGCAAAAGGACAGGGTCCACATGAGGGTCCACAGTGTGTCATGAAGCCCAGAACCGAACTCATGAGCTCCAGGCCCAGCTGAAACCAGCAACCTGGAGTCTGGTGCAGTGATTATAGTCACTCACCCCCCTTACCCCTCCCCCGCCCCGCGCCCCGTACCTGTAGCACTGACCACGCCCTTTTGGGTGTGGTCACAGGTACGGATGTGAACCCTTAAAAGGAATAGGAGTGGGGGGGGACTCAGAAGCCCCTTCAGGTCGCGGAGAGCATCTGGGTGGCAGGGTCTGCATCCTTGGGGTTGCAGAACCGCGACAGTCACTTGTTTCCTGTGTCAGTTACTTTCTCCAGATAAACTCCACGTCATCTTACTGGTCAAGCACCCTGATTTCCACGCCCACAGAGTGGGGCGGTGTTTGCAGATCCCCTACCTGGGGCGGCTCCCTCTGCGGTTCTCACGACTCAGCCCAGCCTTCCTCACATCAAGATTCCAAAAAGGAGGCAGTCACAGGGATGGTGGCAGAGCCCTCCCAGGAAGGCAGCTTACTAGGTTGGAAGTGCTGCCAGGGCAGAGTCCCAGAGACTGAATGGCTTCAATTGTCCCCTCGCTTCTGGGGACCAGAAGTTGGAGATGGCGCATCAGGAGGGTGGGTTCCTTAGGAAAGCGCCCACTCTTTGCCCTTCTTCTGGCTTACTGGCATCCCTCAGTTTACTTGGTGTTTTCGTTTGTCTGGCTTCTGGGTCCATTATCCCATTCTCTGCCTTCAAGTTCTGGGATTTTCTCTGTGTGAATTTCTTCTTTTTTCTGGAGATACCGGCCATATTGCATTATTACGGCCTCCTCTTGCCTAAACGGCCCTGTTTCCAGCTAACGGCCCAGGAGAGAAGACTTCAATATACAAATTCGTTGGGTTGGAGACAGTGCCCACTGACAAATGGAAAACGGGGAGAAGCTGAAGACAGCAGACTTGAAGCAGCAGAGAGGAGGGGAAGCCACTCGGCTTTGGTGTTAGGGGAGGCATGAGGGGGAAGAGAGAGGTGTAGTGAGGAATGCTTGGGCCCTAGTGCCCCTTGCCACCCTAGCCCTCTCTAATAGAATTGTCCCCACCTGTGACCTCTGTTCATGCATTCCGAACCACTGTTGTCTTCTCTGTCCTTTCTACCTTGCCAAAGCCTTCCTTGGAAAGGGGCACCCCTGTCATCACGCCCAGCAGGCGCTGTTCTCTTCCTGTGTCCCTTAGAAGCCTTTGATGGTTTTGACACCCTCCTCTTTCTTCCTCCTCTTCGTGTGTTTTGTTTTGTGAAATTTTATTTTATTTTGTTTTCTTCAAGGCAGAGTCTCTTTGTGTAGCCTTGATTGTCCTAGACCTCCGCCCTGTAGACCAGGCTGGCCTTGAACTCACAGAAATCCGCCTGCCCCTGCCTCCCAAATGCTGGGACTGCGCCATCACAGTCCAGCAGTTTTATTTGTGTTGTTTTTTGTTTTTTGTTTGTTTGTTTGTTTTGGAGTTTTTCATGTACCACATTCTCCTTGAAATCAATGCTGATGAAGACAGTTTTAAACTCCTGATCCTCCTGCCTCTACCTCTCAGTGCTGGGATTTTAGGCATTGGCCAACCCGTGCCCCACCTGGAAATCATAGGCCTGTGCCTTTTAAGATGCATTTTCGTGGTGTTAGGGAGAAAATAACTCAATTGGCAAGGCACCTGCCATGCAAACAAGAGGTTTGAGTTTGACCTCCAGATTGAACGTGTCTTGCTCATCTGAAGTCAGATTTAATTGAATCATCTCTTCTATCTGGTAACCCTTGGGAGGTGTGGAAGGAACCTGCAAGGAATCTGTATTTTAAAAAGGCTATTCGGGAGCTGGAGAGAAGGTTCAACATTAAGAACTTGCTGCCCTATCATGAAAAATGGAGTTTAAATCCCAACACCAACATCAGGCAGCTCACAAATACCTGTAACTCCAGGTTCAAGACACCCGAGCTTCAAGAGACAACCATAGACATTCCAATGCCAAAAGAAAATCTACAAAAATAAACACCGTATTCAGGACAAGCATGCTGGCGCATGCCTTTAACCCGGACCACCGAGAGAGATTGTCTCAGAAAACCAAAGAAAAACAAAAAGGCAAAACAAAAGAAAAACCCAACAACAGCAGAAACACAAAACAAACGAAAACCCTTGCAAAACTGTATTCACACCATGCTACCTCACTAGGCTGGGCGAGCGCCCGACACTTCGTGGGTATGAGCATTCATTCCTCACTTCTTTTTGGTTTTTTGTTTGTTTGTTTATATATGGTTTCACTACATAAGCCCCGACTGGTCTGGAGCTCACTGTGTAGACCAGGATGGCCTTAAACTCAGAGATGCCTCAGCCTCTAGAGTGATGGGATTAAAGGCGTGGGCCAAGGTACCTGGCTCATTCCACATTCTTCCACTGTGTTAGTCTACCAGGAGTCAAGCTTCCAGAGTTGGAATCAGGGCTTCAGCCTTTCACACTCTCCCCAGAATTGTGCATCCAGTGACCCTCTGTCACTTTTTAGAAGAACATCCCTTTCCCTTGCTCCGGTACTTCTGAAGTCCTTGTCCACGCAGATTTAACCAATGACCTCCCTCTCAATCTGCATCACGCGATTCAGAGCCAACTCGGGGGACGGGTGTGTCTGAATGAGAGAGAGGAATCTGCAGGTTCGCAGGGCTGCTTTTAGAGCAGCCCCACCCAGGGACTCGCTCAGCCGGCCCCTCCCAGCATCCTGGGCCGTCCCCAGCCACAGCCAATCACAGAGGGTCCTCTGGAGGAGGGCACAGCTGACAACTTCAGGGAGGAAAGTTTCTGGGGACCGCGCCTAGCACTGAGTGTCGCGTGTCGCGGTCTGGGCGCGCGGGGATGGAGCGGACCCAGGAAGCGCCTGGGGGTGGCCAGACTGAGGCCAGGTCCCCAGGGGAGCCCTTGGAAAGGCCGGAAACGGAGCAGCCGCTGGTCGTCGTGGAGGCGCGGCCACCCGAGGTTCCCGACGGCCACCCGAGGGCAGAGCGTGCCGGGCGGGAGGCGGCGGACGCGGAGCTCCGGGAGCTCTTGCAGGAGAAGCCGCAGCCTCCGGCTGCGTCCGGGACCCCGCGCTTGCCGCCGCTCAGCCTGGGCTACGGCGCTTTCCGCCGCCTGGGCTCGTGCAGCCGCGAGCTGCCGCCGCCGAGCCCCACGCGGGCCGAGCAGCCCCGGGACGGTGAGGCCGAGCTGCAGCCCTGGGCGGCGTCGGGAGAGCCGGCGCCCGGCTCCTGGGCTCCGATGGAGCTGCAGGTGGACGTGCGGGTTAAACCCGTGGGCGCGGCGGCTGCCAGCCGCTCGCCCTCGCCCGCGCCCTCCACGCGCTTCCTCACCGTGCCGGTGCCCGAGTCGCCCGCCTTCGCCCGCCGCCCCGCGCTCCCGCGCCTGCCGCACGCCCCGTCCCCGGGGTCCACGTGGGGCCGTGGATCGCCGCTGGCCGCCACCCCCACCCTGACCGAGCGGATCGGCGCCGCCGAGGGCAGCGCGGTTTCCCCGGACTCGCCCACCTGCCGCTGCCGCTGCCGCTGCCAGGGGCCCGGCCTTAGCGAAGAGGACGCGGGGCTGCTGCAGAGCGCGGGCGTGGACAGCAAGAGCCTGCCCCGGGCCGTCACGCTCATCGGTGAGTATTTTCTTCTGAACTAGGCTAACCAGGAGCCCGTCGGGCTGCCCCAAGCCCACCGGCTTCTCCGTCTCGGAATAACCCAAACCTGCGTCTTGCCCCTGCCCCCGGGGAGCTTTCTGGTCCCTTCTCAGCGTGCGCTGCGTCTTGGAGAAGGAGAACTGGAAGTAACTTCGGATGGGCTGGGGAGTGATTCAGAGTCACGTGGCAGTGGTGGCCTGGGTACACCTCCTGGGACCAGGCTCCTTTCTTTCCGCCTTGAGGAGGGTCATCCATCTGCACACGACTGAGCCGGGGTGCGAGTATGTTTTGTTTGCTTGTGAAGCAGAGGCGAGCACTGAAGAAAGCCCCCGCGTTGGTTTGCTAAAACGCTGACCAAAAACAGCTTGGGGAGGAGAGGATGTATTCGGCTTACAGGTCCGTCACCAAGGGAAGTCAGGGCAGGAGTCTGGAGCCGGGAACTGAAGCAGAACCACGGAGGAAGGCTGCTTACGGGCTTGCTTCCTTAGACGACCCACTCCCATGGTACCGCCCTCGGCGGACTGGGCCCTTCCACATCAGTGGTGAAAGAACAGACTTGCCTACAGGCTGAGCTGATGGAGGCATTTTCTCAGGGGAGGCTCCCCATTTCCACATGACCCTGTAACATTAACCAGCACGGCCCCCTGAAGGTTGTAAATCGTTCTGAGTGAGGAATGGCTCTGTTGTGGTCGATTTACTGGTCCATCCTGGGTTGGGGGTGGTAGAGGTTCCTCAGAAGACGGGCAAGAACAGATCCCCAAAGGGGCTCATGCCTCGCCTAGCAGGTAAACTGCCCCAGTCTGGGGCGATGGAATGTAGGACAACTGCCTAGGGGTCCTGAGATAGAGGGAGGACTCCTAGACTTAGACCACTAAAACCTTTTACCATTCTGTGAGCCGTTTCCCGCCGTGTAGGACGTTGCAAGTTTCCCACACACTCGGTGCCCCTTGCTGATACAAACTCAGTATCCTGCAACATCAGATCGTCTTCAGCAAATTGTGAGCATCGGAGGTCTGACACGGGCAGGACTGTGCCTCTCACTTAGACCCTCCGCTGTCAGCCCAGTGGTGTTAGCCTGGGTTAGGACCCTCATGATTACAGCCGGACCAGGACAGCCCCTATCTCATGGTCAACGGAACCTTAATTCCTCTTTGCTCAGTGATCTAGTGTATTCACTGGTTCTGGGGATCTAGAGGTCTATGTACATCTTTGGGACAGTGATGTTCCAGCCTATAGCTTTCATCAAACTCTTTCATATTTATTTTTAAATTTTATTTTACATGTGTAAGTGCATGCATGTATGTCTGCGTACCACTTATGTTCTAGTGCCTACAGAAGCCAGAGGAGAATGTCAGATCCCCTGGGAATGGAATTGAAGGCAGTTGTAAGCCCTCCCTTGTGGGTGTTGGGAAACTCAACCCAGGTCCTCTGCAAGAAGAGCCATCTCCCCTGCTCCCTTATCAGACTCTTAAAGAACTGTGACCAGAGAAGAGCCAGTGCTGAAGAGATGCTGTTGGATTTGTTCTAGAAATGGAGCTCCTCCTTGTGGAGGAAGGCTGAGGCAGGCTGGAGGCTGAGAAGAGACAGGACCAGATACAGCTAATCGAGGAGAAGGGTGGAGGTCTCTCCCACACTTCTGACTAACTCGGTGGCGGGCTGTTGGCTGCCCCACAAAGGAAACCGTGGGAAGAGATGGAGAAATACACAAGGATGTGCCTTGGTCTGCAGGATCCAGCTGGGTGAGGAACTGTTGAGTGCTTGAACCTGGGAGGTCAAGCCGGTTATCTCGACAAGAGAGGGAGTGTAAGCCAGACGCACTGGGACTTGCTGGACCCCGGCCATGTCTTTCTCGGTCCTCTGTGATCTCGGGAGGAGCAAGCCACTGTGGGGAGGGCCAGGAACACTGCTGCTTGGTCTAGTACCTGTTTGTTTTGGCAGGTCCTCTGAAGGAGGTGCCTAGGAGTTAGTGATGGGGCTGAAGCCCATCTTAAGTCTCGTGCATGCTAGGCTGCCCTCAGACTCACTGGATAGCTGGGGTGGCCTTGAACTTTGATTCTCTTCCACCTGCAAAGTGCTGGGATCACAGGGATGCAACACCACATCTGGTTTATGCTGGTGCTGGGGACCGATCCTGGAGCTCCAGGCACAATAGGCAGGTGCTCGCCCAACCGTTCCGGCAGCTGGCAGGAGGGAGAGGGGTTTGTAAAGCCGAGAAAGGGGAAGGGCTGTAGCCTTGTGTAGTGAATGCTTCTCCCTCAGATCTTGGCTTGGATTTAAATTCTCTTATCCCCAAGGCAGCTTAGGAGTGGCTCTCTCACGCGCGAGCGCACTCTATTTGGATGGTGTTTCATTATCCCAGAATTCTTCACACGGGCTGTGAGTGCCTCCCAAGTAACTCCCTGGCTGGATGGAAGGTAGAGGCATGGGCTTGCCCTCGTCTCCAACACCTGGCACATCAGTGGCTTCTCAGACAGCCTGTCTGCCTGTACAAGTCAGAACTTATTGTATATAGCCTGGATCCCTTTGGGGAGGAGACAGGGTGTTTGATCTCAGTGTTTGTCTTGCAGTTGGCATACCTATGGAGAAAGGGTCACCCCACCTGGCCGCTGGCCTCCAGGAGGCCACCTGTCCGCCATATTGTCCATGCAGTGGGGAACATTCGCAGAGTAAAAGTCAGTGTTAGCGTGGTGTAGAGGCCAGGGAGTCTGGCAGTGGGGCTGGAAGACAGGGCTCTTTGGAGGAGGTCAGACAGCTTTAGGCTTCCAAAGATGGTCCGGGTTTGATGGGGCTTGGGGGAGTGGTTAGGATTTTGAAGCAAGAATGTTCTTGGAGCTCGGTGCAGAGGAATACCTCAGTGTCGTGGAGAGGAGCAGAGGCCCTGACCACAAGGTGAACCTGCTGAGCTTGGCACTGCCATATAAGCGCTTACGTTCTTTTGGGGCCATCGTGTCCCTCTAGAAGTAACTGCAGGCTGGGGGAAGGGAGGGGACGGGTTAAGGGGCCCAGATGCGCACATGTCTTTGCAAGTTGGGTGTGCATAGAGTGTATTTGTGTTACTGGCGTGACCAAGAGTTGTTTTGTCAGCCTGGCAAGGTGACTCACAACCTGCAACCCGGCACCCAGGAGCTGAAGCAGAGGAGTTCTGTCTACCCTAGGCTACATGTTGAGACCCCATCTTTAAATAAATAAATAAAGCGGCATGTGTGGTGAAGCCCGTAATCCCAGCATGCGAGAGGTTGTGCCAGGATTGCTGCAAGTTTGAAGCTAGCCTGGGCCACAACCCTTCAAAACTGAAAACAGAGCATGGCGGTGTGGGCACTTCCACCTCAGCTGTCCAGGGGCCTTGCCTTGCCAAGCTCAGCGCCGGGAACTAGGTGGGTCCCCACCTGTGTGAGAGAACTTGCTCACCACTGGGTTTCTCCCATGCTTGGCTTTCTGAAGGTCAGAGCTAAAGGAAGGTTCAGCCACAGGAATTACAGTGGCTGGTGAGTGTATCCTCCTTGTCTTGGCCGAGCTTTCCAGGCCTGCTTTTATTATTTGTGAGCCTTAATTTAGGGCTGGGACGTAGCTCAGTAGAAAAGCATTTGTCTAGCATGAACAAGATCCTGGTTCAGCGTCGGGTGGGGTACTGTCACGACTCTCAGTTTATACTGCTGTTGTGGTGGTGGTGGTGGTGGTTTGTTTTTAAACCGTGTGTGTCTGCCCTGCATTTATGTCTGTGTATCATGTGCCTGGTGCCTGCAGAGGCCAGAAGAGGGCGCCAGGTCCCCTGGAGCTGGAGTTACAGACGGTTGTGAGCCTCCATGTGGGTGCTGGGAACCGTCTGTGCCTGTCTGCGTCCGTCTGCGCACACGTCTGCGTCCATCTGTGCCCATCTGTGCATCTGCGTCCATCTGTGCCCATCTGTGCGCGCGTCTGCGCCCATCTACGTGTCTGCATCCGTCTGTGCTCGTTCTTAAGGTCTAGCTGTGTAGCTCTAGCTGACCTGGAACTTTTGCTATGTGTTAGACCAAACATTATCAAGTTCCCTCTTCTTTTGATACAGGTATATTGAATGCAATTCATATAACATACAAGGCACCATCTTAGAGTGTACAGTTCAAGGGGTTTTACATATTCTGTGTTGTGTAACAACTACCACCAGTTGATTTTAGATTATCTTTTTCACGCTAAAAACAAACCTGCCCCCACACCCCACTAGTCTCTCTGTCTCGAAACACTTCTCTGGACATCCACGTCACAGGGTTCATATAACATGAACCCTTTCCTCTGGTTTCTTTCTGTTTTGTTTGCTGACAGGGTTTTGCCATGTAGTTCAGGCAGGCCTGAAACTCTTTTTTCTAATTAATTTGCTTTTTTAAAGAATTAAAAATTCTGTGAGTTCAAGGCCAGCCTGGTCTACAGAGAGAGTTCCAGGACAGCCTCCAAAACAATACAGAGAAACCCTGCCTCTAAAAACCAAAAAATTTTTTAAATGTATTAATTTTTTTACATTCCAACCCCAGTTCCCCCTCCCTCCTCTCCTCCTGCTCACCCACCCACCCCACCTCCTATCTGCTCCCTGGAGAGGGTAAGTCTACTAAGTAGAGGGAAGTCTACTAGGTCTGTCCCATCATCTAACTGAAACAGGACCAAGACACCGCTCCTCCCCCGCATCCCTGTGTCTAGGCTGAAACAAGGTATTTCTCCATACAGAATGGGCTCCACTAAGTCAGTTTGTGCATTAGAGTTAGATCATGGAGTCACTGCCAGTGGCCTCATATATTGTCCCAGTCACACCGTTGTCACCTATATTAAGGGAGTCTAGTTTGGTCTTATGCAGGTTCCCCATTTGTCAGACCTGAGTCCGTGATCTCTCACTAGCTCAGGTCAGCTGATTCTGTGGGTTTCCCCTCATGATCTTGACTCCTTTGTTCATATAATTGCTCCTCTCTCACTTGGATTGTACTCCAGGAGCTTGGCCCATTGGCTAGTTGTGGATTTCTGTATCTGCTTCCATCTGTTTCTTCTGGGAGAGGGTTCTAGCTTCTCTGGGTTGTGGACTGTAGACTGTGTATCTTTTGCTTTATGTCTGGTATCCACTTATGAGTGAGAACATACTACATTTGTCTTTCTGGGTCTGGGATACCTCACCCAGTTAATTTAATGTGTATGAGTATCTGCCAGGTGTGTGCCTAGGGTCCAGATGAGGGCATGTGACCCCTTGAGACTACTTGTGAGCTGCCATGTGGGTGCTGGGAATTGAAGGCCCTCAGGCAGCCAGAGTTCTGAACCCTTGAGCAGTCTCTCCAGTCCCTGGCCTGAAACCCTTAATGCCCCTGCCTCAGCCCCCTGAATGCTAGGACCACAGGCTCATGCCACCACAAGTGACTGTCTGACTTCTTTGGCTTAGCCTGTTTTCAAGGTTTGTTCATGCTGTAGCATGAACCTGGTATTCCATTCTTTTTTATTGCTGCATAGTATTCCATGGCATGAATACATTGTTTTCATTATCTACTTATCAGCTGATAGAATTCTTAGAAAATACATTTTAAAACCAAATTGTGTATTTAGAAACCCCACAGGGGCTAGAGAGATGTCGCAGCACTTGAGGGTACTTGCATTTCCAGCACCCACAGTGGGATGCTCACAGTCACCTACAACTCCAGCTTAATGGGACCCAGCACCTTCTTCTGACCTCCGAGGGCATGTGCAAACACACATGCATATGGACATAGTTAAAAGTGAATTGGAAAAAGCAAATATTCCAGGGCTGGATTTAGGACTCAGTGGGTTGACACCTGCTTCGTCGTGCTTGAAGGCCTGGGTTAGTTCCCCAGCACAAAGCTTTAAAAAAAATAAAAACCCAAACAGGTCACAGTGTTCCCTCCCTCCCTCCCGGTGATCCCAGCTTCTCCAGAGGCTGAGGTGGGGGATCACATGATCTTGGGAAACATAGTGAGACCGTATCTCAAAACAGAAGGATAGCTGGGCAAGATGGTCCCAGCACTTGGGAGGCAGAGGCAGGTGAATCTCTGTGAGTTCGAGGCCAGCCTGGTCTATGTGACGAGTTCTGGGACAGCCAGGACTACATAGAGCAGTGGTTGTCAATCTGTGGGTCACAACCCCTTTGGGGGTCAAATGGCTTATCACGGGTGTCACCTAAGACCATCAGAAAACAGATATTTACGGTATGATTCATAACAGCAAAATGACACTTAGAAAGTGGCAACTGAAATAACTTTATGGTTCGGGGGGAGTCACCAAAACATGAGCTGTATTAAAGGGTCGCAGCATTAAAAAGGTTGACACAGACGCTGTTTCAAACAGAACAAAACCATGAAGGAAAGGATATAACTGAAACAAGCGGCGTGACCTGTCTCCTGTTTCTCATGCCCGTTCCCTGCCCGTTCCCCCAACTTCCTGGTGCCCTTGGCCTTTGAGTCACAGACAAGGCCCGTAACTGCTGACTGACTAGCCGCAGCTGTGGAGAACTGAGTCTGCCTGAGTCTCCGCTTGTGGCAAAGGCCTGGAAAGACTGTCGAGGCGGCTGAGGCTTTGATGAAAAACATGTAGACTCAGGACTTGGCCTTGGTTGACTTTGACCTTGTAGAGGCACAGTGTACTCCCTGCTCCTTTATAGCATGCTGCCCGTGGTGTCCTGGGTTCTTTCACCTGCTGCCTGAAGGCCCCTTGCGCACATCTGTGGCAGCTACACTACTGTCTGGACATCGCTTGCTCTGTTTGCAGAGCCTTTATCTTCAGAGAGCATTCTAGCATGTCTCCTAAATGAAGTTCTGATCTAACCTGGGTGCTTTGCCTGGGTGTCTTGAGCCAAGGTGACCATGGTGTGTGTGTGGGGTAGGGTGAAGACCAATGGGATTCTGGGTTGAATGTGGCTGGGGTGGTCTCTTTTTTTTTGTTTTGTTTTTTTACGAGACAGGGTTTCTCTGTATTGTTTTGGAGACTGCCGGTCCAGCCTGGCCTCGAACTCACAGAAATCCACCTGCCTCTGCCTCCCGAGTGCTGGGACTAAAGGCGTGCACCACCACCGCCCAGCGGGTGGTCTCTTTTTTGTTGTTGTTGTTTTTCAAGACAGGGTTTCTCTGTGGCTTTGGAGGCTGTCCTGGATCTAGCTCTTGTAGACCAGGCTGGCCTCGAACTCACAGAGATCTGCCTGCCTCTGCCTCCAGAAGGATGGTCTCTTACAAGTTGCCTTTCTGTTTTCTCTCCAGGGCTGCCGCTGTACATGAAGTCCCTTCGATGGGCTCTGGTGATCATGGCTGTGTTCCTGGCTGTCTGCACTGTAACCATTGTGGCACTGGCCTCCAGAGGCGGTATGGAAGCCCGCCGCTATTGTATACTTGTAGCGTCTTTGAGACCAGAGTGAGCTCAGAGGTGCAGTATGAAGACACAGGCCCAAGAGAAGGAAGCTTGACCCTACCCTTCCTCCAGGCACAGCTTGTGACCTGACTGGTAGGGAGAACGCCAGCCCCTCTCCAGGGGAACTTTGCACCGTGCAAGCCGCATAACCTTCCTGGGGTTCTGCTGACCATCCTCCCCCGCTGGACGCTTGCCAGCTCCCTACCCCCCCAGCCGAGGTCATGGCCAAGTTTTATTTGCTCAGTGTGTTCATGCATAGCCTCTTAGAATCTCCCCTTGACCCACAGACCTTTGCTTTCAGGAGCCAGGTGCCAGTCATGCCCTCAAGGCTGGTTGTGGTCTCAGGAACACTGTTATTACCTCTCTGAAGAAGCCCAAGACTGGGAGGGCAGCCGTGCCTTCTGCTCAGCCCACCAGGCCACACTGCCTCTGCTGAACCACACCCAGGTGAGAAAGGCTGGCTAGGAGGGGATGTGGCATCCCAGATCCCTGACTCTTAATCCTGGAAGGAACTTCTAGATCAAGTCCTCCACGCTGTGAGAGTCACCAGGGCCCCAAGGGAATAAAGTGACATGCACAGGGACCAGATATCGGGTGTCCAAGGGTTTCGTTCTAAGAACAAGGCAAAGCTAGGTCCCATCCCACCTGGGTTACAGTTAGCAGTGGAGCCAGGCCTGCCGGGAGAGACCCACGAGTCCTCCAGGATGTGGTAGAGAAAATACAGCATGTTTAGTGTCAGGCACTGGCTCTAAGGGCTGGGAACAAAGATCTTAGAAACTGCTTAGTGCCTTGTGATCATAAGCATTTCTTTCCTTTTCTTTCTTTTTCTGTCCTGTTCTTTCCTTTAAGACAGTCTCACTATGTAGTCCCGGTTGACCTAAAATTCTGTATAGACCAGGCTGCTTCAGACACACCTGCCTCTACCTCCCGGATGCTAAAATTCAAGGCACTCACCACCACACTCAGTTTAATGATTTGTTCTAATCTATGTGTGAGTATGTCTGCGTCTGAGCACAGGTGCCCATGGAGGGTTGAGAGGTCAAACCCCTGGAGCTGGAGTTACGGTTGGTTGTGAGTCAGCTGATATGGATGCTGGGAACCAAATTCAGGTACTCTGAATTGAGAGAGAGTGTGCGTGTGTGCGTGCGTGCGTGTGTGTGCCGTGCGTGCGTGTGTTAGGGTATCTATTGCTGTGATAACATACCGTGACCAAAGGCCACCTGGTGGGGAGGAAAGACAAGCTTTGTCTCTTGTTACAGCTCGTGCATCATCCAGGGAAGTCAGGGCAGGAACCCTGGGGCAGCAGCTGATGCAGAAGTCACAGAGGAGCACTGCTTACTGGCCTGCTCAGCCTGTCTATGCTTTCCAGGACCATCTGCCCAGGGTAGTACCACATACATGGGCTGGGCCCTTCCACATTAGCCATTAACCAAGAGAATGCCCAACAGACTTGCCTACAGGCCAGATTTATAAAGACATTTTCTCAGTTAAAATTCCTACTTCATCTGCTGGTGGTGGTGGCGCACGCCTTTAATCCCAGCACTCGGGAGGCAGAGACAGAGTTCGAGGCCAACCTGGTCTACAGAGCAAGTTCCAGGATAGCCTCCAAAACAATACAGAGAGAAACCCTGTCTTGAAAAAACCAAAGCAAACAGAAACAACAACAACAAAAAAGATACTCTCTTCCTAGATATGCCTAGGTTTGTGTCGAGGTGACAAAACAATCAGTACAATTGAACCCTTGTCAACTTGACACACAAACTTATCATTTACTAATCCATAGCCTTTTTCTTCTTCACCCTCAGCAGCTCATATTAATATAAATATCACAATACAAAACATCCAACAACTTAAAAGTGCAGTCTCCCCAAAACTCCAAAGTCTCTCTCAAAGCCTCCCAACTTTAGGATCCTATAAAATTAGAAACAAGTTAAATACCTTCTTATACCAAGAAGGAAGAATCAGGGTACAATTTGAAGAAAGCAAAATTCGACCCCAACAGTGTAACTAAGTCAGGGTTCAGTGTCTGGGAGTCACTCACAGTCTGGGCTCCACGTGGACAGTCCCACACCTGGCTCCGTCATTCACCCCACGCACCTCTTGTCTCCCAGGCTTAGGGCAGCTCCACTCCACAGCTGCTGCTGCCTTTGGTCATCCCCTAGTACCGACACCTCCAAAATGTCGGGGTCTCCACTGCAACTGGGCGGTAGCTTCAGCTCCCTCTCCAGGCATCATGACGGGGATTCTGACCCTTCTCTGCATGGCCCCTTCAATCCCTTGGCTTCTACTTTAACCGAGGGTGCACACTCACCGATGGCCTCTCTCCAGGCCTCAGCTGCAACCCGTGACCTCTTCATGCCTTCAAACCCAGCGCCACCTGGGAAACTCTTACACGTGACTAAGTTTGGTTGCCAGCACAAGACAAAGCCTTATCCCGCTCTGGACCGCAGCCTCTGTGGGCTGACCCTGAGGAAACACTTCCCAGATTTTGTCCCAGCAAAGCAAAGGTTTCACTCTGGTGGTTCTTTTTTTTTTTTTTTTTTGTATTTTATTTGTTTTGGTTTTGTTTTTTGAGACAGGGTTTCTCTGTATTGTTTTGGAGGCTGTCTTGGAACTCACTTTGTCTTGTTTTTATTTTATATGCATTGGTGTTTTGCCTTCATGTATGTCTGTGTGAGGGTGTCAGATCCCTGGAACTGGAGTTGTGAGCCGCCATGTGGTGCTGGGAATTGAACCCAGGTCCTCTGGAGGAGCAGCCAGTGCTCTAAACCACTGAACCAACCAACTCTCTAGCACTGCAGGGTTCTCTTGAGTAACACAACTCGTAGAATGAATTACACACATACACACACACACACATTCTGTATATATAAAGGGGATTTATTAGAGTGACTTACAGGCTGTGGTCCAGCTAACCCACCAATGGCTGTCTTCCAAAGGAAGGCCCAGGAATCCCGTAGTTTAGTCCACAAGGCCGGATGTCTCAGCTGGTCTTCAGTATATGCTGGAATCCGGAAGAGCAGGCTCTCATGTCAGCAAAGAATGGACTTGCTAGCAAGAGCAAAAGTTAAAGAGCAAGCTAGGACTAAAGGTGTCTGTCACTAGTACCCAGCTGTTTGCTTCTTATTGCTAAAGTAATGCCACGGTTTTAGTGCACTTTATTACTGAGGGACACACATGCACACACTACAATGTGTGGAGGTCAGAGGACAGTTTGAGGAGTTTGGTTCTGTCCTTGCACCGTGTGTCTCAGGGACTGAACTCATCTCATTAGGCTTGGCAGCAAGCCCCTTTAACCACTGAGCCATCCCCATCCCCATAGTATTAAATGGCTTTAATACTATTGACCCAGTGCAAAATAATTTCGCTCCTGTAGGGAACTGCACCATTAATCTGCCCCATACCCCTCCATACCTTAATCCCTGCCCCCCATGAACCAACCCTTCTGGTTACTGGCTGCCACCCAGGCATGCTTGGGAGCCTGGTAACTCAGCCCAGGCCTCTTCCTCTCCTCTGAGCTGTTTTATTATCTCATTGTGTGGTGACTGTCACATCCTCTTGAGATGCAATCACTCTCATTTCTGGTCCCCCAGCCTAATGTCAGGTCACCAGCAAGCATCCAGGTCAACTTCCATAATTACATGTGTGTTGCAAGATCTCTGAGCTGATTCCTTCCTGGAGGGGCATGCTGGGATCCTGCAGAAGCCCGGGGAAATGGGTACCCTAGTAAGCCGTGGAATGCAAAGAATGACTGCTTGCTTTTCTCCCCCAGGGCTTCCTGAGAAAATACCAAATCTCCAAAGACTCCTGGGTGGGGGCCCAACGGGGCCCTGAAGGCTGGCACTGGACTGATGGGGTGCCCTTGCCATCCCAACTGTGAGTACCCGGGTTCCCTCCTGCTCTGCTGTGCTATGGCTTCCTTTGGACTCATTCCAAACCCAGCCAAGCAGGGCTAGCATTGCCTTATCCTTGTCGCCCCAACCCCGGAGTCGGTCCCCAGCAGTCACTCAGGCAGAACTGTCCTGTCTGCTTTTCAGATACACGGTCGGAGGCTTAGGAATTTGGTGGTTCCTCCATGTAGCTGACCAGTGGGAGACATTGTCAGGGTTCTTTCCAGATATTTCCTGCCCGGGTGCAGTGACTGGCGCAGTATTGGGCCTGCTCTGGAGAGGAGGCCCAGCAACATGAGTGTCTTCTCTCTCCTCCCTCGCCTTACCCCACCCTAGGCTCCCAGAGGACAGCGAGGACCACCCAGACTTCGGCTGCGGGGGTTTGGAAGAAGGCAGGTTCGTGGCGCGGGACTGCAGCTCGCTCAGACCCTGGGTCTGTGCCAGGAGGGCCAGGTGACTTAGTGTCCTGTGGTGGACCTGTCTGGGGCTGTGTTCATTGCTTTTGCTTTGGTGGCACCAACGTACCTGAAGAAATGACTTCCAGGAGGCAGGAGTTACGAGGCTCGTGCTTTCCGAGGGCCGCACCTGGCGGAGCTGCCCAGTCCACAGCAGCAGGGGCACGTGCCAGGAAATTCACGCTCCTGGGGACCAGAGGCAGAGGGAGTGCCCGAGCAAGGCCTGTCACTGTTGACACACCTCAACAAACCAGGCTCTACCATCAAAAGCTCCCACAGTCCCCAAATCCAGCACTAGGAGCTGGGGACAAGCTGGTGGGGGACATTTCAGATTCAAAGCAGAGTCTCCCTGTAATGTCCCTTGAAGACTCATGACTGTCTTTTGAGACAGGATCTCTATGCAGCCCTGGTTGACCTGGAACTTACTGTGTGGTCCAGGGTGGCCTCAAGTTCTCAACAACCCTCCCCAAGTACAGAGATTGTATGCCACCATACCCAGACTGTGGCAAGCTCCTAATGCAAAGTCCATTTAGCCCAATTTCAGGAGTTTCCATAGTCTTAACAGCTCCAATGTTGTTCAAAAGTCCAAAGACTTCTCTGAGATCCCAAATAAAATATTAGCTTTAAGGGGCTGGAGAGGTGGCTCTATGGATAAGAGCATTGGATTTTCTTCCTGAGGATCTGAGTTCAATTCCCAGCCCCCACATGGCATATCTGTGACTCTAGTTCTAGGGCACCTGACGCCCTCATACAGGCAAAACACAAATTATATACTTCTAATATGCAATAACAGAATAAAATTCTCATTCCAAGACAGTAGGCAGGAAAGATTAGACCAGTGCAAGACAGATCCACCTGAGCAAATCTTAAGCTCTGCAGCTCCATGCCCGTCATCAGATGCTCTGGGAATTTGAGGGCACCGTGACACTATGAGACAGTTAAATAAAAGCTTACCTTGATTTGGGGCAAGTGACTAGTGACAACGCGGCTAGAACTGGCCATAGAAAAGCCAGCAATTCGAATAGAGAAGGTGCACAGGACGGAAAGGGCTGAGTCGCCTTATTTATGGCTCTTAGACCCCATAGCGCCCTTCCTTTTCCAGATTTCTTTTTAATGACAAATGTAGGAGACGAACTGGAGGGTTCTTCAGTGCGTTGTGCTGCTCCTGTACCAGCTGTTCCTGTGCCTGTAATTTTTGTGACGTCCAAGGCCATTGTTCCTCCCACAGGTTTGTCAGCTAACCATTTTAAAGTTAGGAAACTTTAAACTTGAGAAAGGGAGGAGCCTCCGTGCTGGCCCGTGAGGCAGTTTCCAGGTTGGGCTGAGGTGGAAAGACCTACTCTAAATGCGACTGGCGCCGTTCCTGGGCTGGGGCCACGCTGCCCTCTCCCTCACCTCTTCCTTTAAGATGCCTTTGTCAGATACTTCATTGCAGTCGCTAATATATGCAACACCATCCCTGATAGCGCAGGGTCTTAGCCCAACCACGGAAGGCTGGGTCCGAGGTAAGGGTAAGTGAGCCACTCACCCATTTCCCAGGCTGGCAGGATCCCGGAGACGATCAGACACAGCAGGAACTCATTTATTGTCCCAAAGCTTTTTCTAAAAAACCACAGGGGGGTGGGGCCCGCGGGACACAGCCAGCCAGTGGTTTTAAAAGTCAGCCTGTCACACACCTAGGCGCCCTACGCTTTACCTAGTGAACACAAGCTGTTCGTGCAGTGATCACATCTGGTTCCATCTGGGCAACCAATCATCGTTTTTTGTAAACAACTCAGGACTCACCCCGCTGACTTTCCCTCAGTGCCATTGTTGATTTGTGTGCCCTACAGACTGCCCCTTTTTGTTTTAGACTGTGACCCACCGCATTATGAAGTACGGGCCTCTTGGCACCTCCACAGAGGGTCACCTCTGATGGCACCTTTTGTCAAGGTTCACTCCAAAGGGAGATATCCTCAGGGGTGAGCCTGTCACAGTGTATACGAGGGCTCATCAGTTGGGTCTCTTGAGTCTTTGTTCGGATTAGTCTATCCAGCAAGGCTCAGAGACACAAATTAAGGTTATTATATAAAGAAACCTAACAGTGTGGAGATTGCATTATCTAGGAGTCCGTCCCCGTGTTCTCCCATCACATTTGGATATGTCCGTTGCTGTTCGGTTGCTCCCTGGGCATAAGTCAGTTTCCCTTAAAGCTGCCCTATTGGGAACATGTGAGCAGCCCAGGGATTGGGGGTCCGATACGTGGGGCAGATGGCACCCCCACAGCCATCCTTGATGAAGAGAGGTCCAGTCTCCCAAGTCCCAAGGTCCTCGGGCCAGGTCACAGAGGTCAAAGAGGAGCATAGGCCATCGGGTCTGGGGACTGCCTCGTTCGTGGAGCTGTTGAGGACATCTCCACTGGCGGCATCCATTGCCATCCACATTTTGGAGTCTTTTGGAGTCAATGAGGGTTCTGCTGGGTGGTCACTGGGAGCGTTACAGTGGTCAGGAAGTGAGACATCATCTGTAATTTTTAAATTTTACCCCAGGGTCTGGCGCCCTTGGACATGGTTAGGTATCATTGCATTGGCCCTCATAATTCAGAAGACGAGCCTTGACCACCATTGCTGCTTCCTCTCCTTGGTCAACCTGTTCTTGGTCATCCTCCTGCATTGTGGGAAGAGGCAGGAATTTTAGATTTCTGACCGGAAGCCAGATGGGCGCTTCCTCCCCTATGGGGAAGACACATCCAAATCCTCTTCCCATTGTAATTAACGGGTCTGGGCCCCTCCATTGGGATGTTAGAGGGTCTTTCTTTCCATTTGATCTTAACTTGGGGTTTGGAGTTTAGGTGACCCCAATGTTTTCGGAACTTAGATTCGGTTGATATTAATAGTAAATAAAGCCATTCCTAGTTTTAATTGGGGGCTGATTCCTCCTTTTTGTTTTAAAAGTTGTTCTTTAAGACATTAATGGTTTCTTTCTACAATTGCTCGTCCCTGGGGTTGTAAGGGATTCCTGCAGTATGTTTGATGTGCCGTCTATTGAGAAATTCTGCCATGGAATTACTGGCAAAGCATGGGCCATCATCAGTCTTAACCTGTGTGGGTAATCCTGGAGTTGTGAAACACTGGAGGAAATGTTCTCAAGCATGTTTGGTTTTGCAGTGGTCCAACAGGCCCCTGAAGAAGTGTCTATGGAGACAAAAACATACTTCTGTCTGCCAAAAGCTGGAAAATGAGTAACATCAGTTTGCCAGAGGGAATTGAGCTGTAGGCCTCTGGGGTTATTTCCTGGTGGCAGTAGAGGGGGACTCTTAGGTATGGCTGACATGATTTGCAGGTGTGAGCTATCTTTTTTAGTTCTTTTCTAGGAATCATTGGGAATCTATTATGTAGTCCACTCCAGTTGACATGGATCATATCATACAGTTGGGTGGCTTCCTGTAGGTTTAGTGCCTCTGGGGCTGTCGCCAGTCTGTCTGACCATTCAATGCCCTTAGTCAGGAACCCTGGGAGGCCAGAGTGTCCCCAAACATGTTGAAACTGAATTGGTGCCTCTCAACCCTCTAGAAGGGCCTTAAGAGCCACCATGAGGGGGGATATAGGGTTATCTAACTGTGTGCTTGTGGGATAGGGGAAGGAAGTTAATCACTTAGACTGTCTGAAAAGAGACTGCAGGGCTCGGAGATGTCCTGCAATGCCAGCGTCACAGCCAGCATTTCCTTATATTGAACTTCCTCACTAGAGTAACAGTCAACAAAACTGCTTCACTAACATGCCCTCAAGAGGTAGCCAGCCTACGCTGGAAGCTTCTGTCTCAAGGTCTCTGACCGTCTTAGGCAGGCCACCTCTGGATTGCTGAACTGTGGCCAGGAGTGAAGTCACACTGCAACCAACGTGGAAACTTCCACACGACACTGAAACGTGACACAGTGGAGGAAGGGTGAATTTCCTGAACAGGACAATAGGCAAATGGCACGGCGAACGGTAGGAATCTTCCAGGCCTGTGTCACTCCCCTGTTCTAAAGCTGAGACTCAGAGAGGCCAAAGGACTTACAGGGCAGCAGAGAAGAGGTTACGAGTGCTGATCCTGGAAATGTGTGTATTCCTGGCTGTCCTGAAAAATCAGGTTGGCCTTGAACTCATGCAGCTGCCTCTGCATCCTGAGTGTTGGAATGATCTGGTCACATTTTTTAAAAAGTATATTTTTGTATGTGTGTGCACACACATGAGTGTAGGCTGGTGTGACACGCTGTGTATATGGAGGTAAAAGGGGTGTCGGGTGTCGGTCTTCACCCCCCCCTCCTCGCTTGACTGGGAGACCCGCTGTTCACTGCTGCATATGCCAAGTTAGCTGGCTGTCAAACTGGGGTTTCTGCTGTCTCACGGTAGGAGGCAGCACACCATGATTTATATAAATTCTAGGGATTTAGCCGGGCAGTGGTGCACACGCCTTTAATCCCAGCACTGGGAGGCAGAAGCAGGCGGGTCTCTGTGAGTTCGAGGCCAGCCTGGTCTACTGAATTCCAGGACAGACCCCAAAACAATATAGAGAAACTCTGTCTCGAAAAAACAAAACAAAAATTCTAGGAATTTGAACTGAGATCTTGACATTTGTATGGTAAGCACTGAGCTCTCTCTCCAACCTGTAAAGTGCTACTGATACACACAATACAGATGAGCCTCCAGAAGGCAGCCAGGCTTGAAAGTGCCCATTGGTAACTCCATCTGTGATATTCAAGAGGAGACAGAACTAGTTTGAGAATGAAAATGATTTTGCCAGAAACCAGAGAAGGCAGGCCTTTAACTGTGGGTTAAATTTGTCAAGTTTGCTGGGCATGTAGAATTGCTAATTGTCTGTGGTTGCAAACTCCATCTGAATGTTTTTATTTTTTATTTATTGTTTTGGTTTTTCGAGACAGGGTTTCTCTGGCTTTGGAGGCTGTCCTGGAACTCACTCTGTAGACCAGGTTGGTCTTGAACTCTGCCTGCCTCTGCCTCCCAAGTGCAGAGATTAAAGGCGTGGCCACCATGCCCGGCTCATCTCAAACTTTTTGTTGAAGAGTAACCTTTTAGGCACTCCACCCCACCCCAGATAGGCTGTCTTTATGAGCTAGCTAGAACTCCCTCTGTAGACCAGGCTGGCCTTGAACTCAGAGATCCGCCTGCCTTTGCCTCCCGAGTGCTGGGATTAAGGATGTGTGCCACCACTGCCCAGCCCTTTTAAGCATCTTAATCATATAATTTGCCATTAAATAAACGTAGGCTTAGGGTCAGTCTGGACTGAATTCAAATCACCCAGTCTCGCCACTGATTCCCTGAATAGCTTTTTGGCTTCTGTAAACCTCGGTAAATGAGAAACCACATACAACCACATACATTGTGTTTGACTGGCAGAGACGACATGGCTGTTCTCAGTTCTAGGACTGCTACAGTCATGTTCCAGAGCTACAGGTGTGTCTGACATGCAGGACAGGTGAAGGGCTCCCAAGTTCCCAAGGCCTCTGGGTGCCTCCAGGCAGAAGGGCACGTTGTCCTGCAAAGGCCATGTGTGAGAGGTCTTTGCGGTCCTTGAACTTGGAGAGATCCACCTGCCTCCTGACACCTGGGATTAAAGGTGTACACCACTGTATCAGGTGTCTCATGACTTTTCTTTTTTGGACAGGGATTCTCTGTGTAAGTATCCCAGGACTCACTCTATAAACCATATTGGCCTTGAACTCACAGGAGATTCCTCTCTGCCTCCTGAGTGCTGGAATTAGAGGTGTGGCTGGCTCTTGCTCTCACTGTAAGCTCTTTAAGCAAACACCTTGTGTGTCTGTTGCTCTCAGCCATCTTTTGTTGGCCAAGAACTCTGTGGTGGAGGGTAATTCCTGGTCCTCCTGCTTGGGTCACCCCCAAGTGTTCACTCCACCACGTGCTCTGAGCTCTTTGGGTAGTCTGCAATTCAGGAGTCAGCTTCTCCCATCTTCAAAGCCAAGAGCTACCAGTTTGGAGCTCCCCTACCTGGACAGCCCTTATAATTACACATGGACATTGACAAGCATACCTGGATGTCAGGTTTAGAATCTTTGAGGGAGAAAATGACCAAGTAAATGTGGCCAGGGCTATAAACAAAATTTCTCAGCTTTGCTTGGAGAAGAAATAGGATAACATGGGAAGTTTCTGGCCCATTATTTTGAGCAGCTACTGCTGTCCAAAACTGGCAAAACAAGAAATAGCAGGAATGTCATTCTACAGAATGAAGACAATTACCCTTTGAAACAGAAACTAGGATGGTATTCCCCAGGGAGGGACTTTGGAGAACATCCTAGGATGTTCTATTTTAATTGGGGTGAGTAGTAGCATATACAAATGCAAAACCATCAAGATACATTCTAGACTGCACACAAATGCCTTTAAAAAAAAAAAAGCTGCTGCCTCTTAGAAACAGAAGCCAGGTACAGTGAGTTGGCCTTCAGAGGACATTATTGTGGTGGGGTGTGCGCCTTGGGCATAAGGAGGTCAGAAGATAACTTCTGGGTGTGATTTCTTTTTCCACGTGGGTTATAGGGAATGGACTCAGGCTGTCAGGCTTGCCAAGCAAGTGTTCCTGTTTTCTGGGCCTCTTGCCAGCCTTAAGACTAATTTTTAAAAAAAATTTTAGAAAACTGTAAACTTGAAATTATATTTACATCTTTAGACGTTATTATTCTCAATCAAGTGTATATGTGCATGTTAGTTCAGCGCCAGAGCCCAATCTCAAGTGAACAACTTCCATCCCTAACCTGAACTCTCCTCTAGCCCCAATATGCACACATTTAAAGTCACCATATTTATGAACTTTTTTGTTTTGGTTTTTACAAGACAGGGTTTCTCTGTGGCTTAGGAGGCTGTCCTGGAACTGGTAGACCAGGCTGGTCTCGAATTCGCAGAGATCCACCTGGCCATTTGTGGACTTTTTTAAAAGGGCCAAGACTAAATTCAGAAATGGTTTCTATGATCTTTTCACTTCTTTGTAAGCCTGTGGTCATTGCTGAGGTAACTTCTTCCTGGTTTTGGCCTCTCATCTACACCTTATTTCTTGCTGTGGAGAGATGATGAGCTGGCATCAAGAATTCCTGAAGCAGAGCTGGGGCGTTGGTGGCGCACGCCTTTAATCCCAGCTCTCAGGAGGCAGAGGCAGGCGGATCTCTGTGAGTTCGAGACCAGCCTGGTCTACAGAGCGAGTTCCAGGACAGCCTCCAAAGCCAGAGAGAAACCCAGCCTCAAACAAAACAAAATCCCCTACCACCATGCCCCAACTCAAGGATCCATCTCAGGTCCCTAGACTGGCATTGTAGGCACGTGCTAAATGAGCCATCTTCCCAGACCAGGGCAGAACATTTTTTAAATGGTAACTTAGTTGAAAATCCAAGGGTTCCTCTCAACTTTGTAAACATTTTCGAAGCAGGGTTTCTCTGTGTAGCCCCCCAGCTGTCCTGGAACTCACTCTATAGACCTGGCTGGTCTCCAACTCAACAGAGATCCGACTGCTTCTGCCTCCCGAGTGCTGGGATTAAAGACGTGCGCCACCACCGCCAAGGCACAGGCCTATTGTTGGGACGGGGTCCTTTATGTGATTTTGATATAGAATGTTCGGAGACTTCTTACACACTTTGCCTAAGATTCAAAAGCTGCCCAGGCTGGTTGGCGGTCACTTTGAAACCCTGCCACCTCATCTTCCGAGTTAGCTTGGATTATGGGAGTGGCACTTAGCATGCCCAGCTCAGCAGACACTTCTGACAGAATACTTTGAAATATTGAGTAGTTCCTGTTGACTTCAGGGATTTGTGTTTGCAATGCTAGGAGCTAAAACCTGGGGTGCATACAGGGTCGGCATTGATCACTGAGCTTCCCTCCAACTCTCGAGTAATTTATACCACACTTTCTGGGGGTAATGTAAGCTAATGTAACTTACTCCCCGATTTGCTAACTATGAGTATTTTCATGTTATTCTTGGTCCAAAAGAAAAACATCGAAGGCTGTAACAAAAGGATTTGGAAATACAGCTATCCGGTCATCCATTTCAGCTCCGTCCCAGGCGATCCTGATGCTCCCTTGTAGCCACACTATGTCTAGTCATGGTCACATCTTGTGCCATATCCAGGTCTGCATCAATGACCGGCTTTTCGGCCTACCACTATGATCACTATTGAAATGAGCTGCTCCAGGCTGGAGAGATGGGTCAGTGGCTAAGAGCACTGACTGCTCTTCCGGAGGAGCTGGGTTCAATCTCCAGCACATGGCAGCTCACAACTTCTGTAACTCCAATTTATCTGACACCCTTACACAGACATACATACAGACAAAACACAAATGCACATAAAATAATTTGTAAAAAGAAAAGGAAATTAGGCTGATCCTCAGACATGGTTGTAGCAGCTAAGCAACCAGGTCATTTGCCCCTACACCTTGAGAACATCAGGCATTGCAAAACTCAGAAGCATTTGGCCCTGGCACTGCTCTGGTAGACTCCCTACATCTACTAACAGAGTGCTGTTCTCTAAGGCCTCACCACCTGTTTTCACTCCCAAAGAACTACTGTCTCAAACAAGTGAAAGAAAAAAAATATTGAAAAAGGACTTTGGATCGTCTTAGTGGTAGCCTAAGAAACATTTTCACCAGGTGTGGTGGTACATGGCTATAATCCTTCATTTCAGTGGTACAGACTGGAAAACCAGAAGGTCAAGGAAATCCTTGACTATAATGTCAACTGGAGGTCATCTTGGCCTCAAAGGATGAGGAGAACCTGAATCGGGTAAGAATCAGAACCCAAGTTCAACCCCCAGCAAAAACTCAGGCATGACAATTCACATTTGTAATTCCAGTACTGTGCTATGGGGAGCTCACGACAATCTAACCTCATATGTAAGCTTCAGGTCAGTAAGACCCTGTCTCAAAGGAGATGACTGCATTCCTCTAAATAATGCTCTACCCCCTCCCCCCAAAAAACCAACCAGGCAGCCATGATACAAACTATCAGATGTAGTCAAATATTTCTTCAGCTATCAGAAATTTAATATTTATCCTGTTCTTTCATTGAATTGTGAGTGTCCCAACACATTTTGCTCCTTAAATTAGTATTTTCCAGGTCCTCAGGAAAAAGATTCAGAGACCAAAGACTTAGCATTAAGTTCTCAAGCTTATCTCAAGATGGATTTGAACCTGTGATAGCCCTCCTACCTCAGTTCCCCAGTGCTGTAATAACCAAGTGTAAGCCTTCACCTTCAGCTTGTTTTGGAAAAAATAAGGAAATTTAGCAAGCCATAGCAGATAAGATCCTGATTGGGGGGGGGGGTAACAAGAGCAGCTATTACCCGATAGAGGGATGTGTTTCAATGGTTTACAGTTTACCCCCAACAGCTGATTGTCTATCTCAGCAAGCTGTATTTTTTTCCAGCTATGAAATACTTTTTGTTGATGTTTTTCAAGACAAGTTTCTCTGTGTAGCCCTGGCTTTCCTGGAACTCACAGAGATTTGCCTGCCTCTTTTGTATGGCAATTAAAGGCATGTGTTGTAATACTTGGCTTCTTAGAATTTAAAGTGAAACAAAAAACTATTTCTAACTCTCCTCATCTACAATCCGGAGCTAAACCTAAAGTACATATAAAGATTTATGAAAAATAGTATACACGGAGATGCAATAGAGATACATAAACCATTCTCGGCAAAGACAACTAAACTGGGCCACAGTAGAGTCTCTTAGATTACGATGTACACTTGTGGGAAGAAATGCACCTGCAAAGAGTTCACCTGGTAAACTGGAATCCTGAGTGCCCCATCTGATCTTACACTTGTGGTCACAAGCCTCAGCGCCTCAAGCGTCAAGCACTGGGATGTCAGGCGCATTCCACCATGCTTTGTTCCTTTTCGCCATTAAAAAACAAAGTCCACATCTGGTGGACTGTGCCTATAGACCCAAAACCTGAGGCTGAGGCAGGAAGTTCAAAATTCAAGGCCAAGCAAGGATCTATCGCAAGAGTTTGCTTCTAAAACTCAGAACCACCTAGTAGTGCACTAATTTTCTTCTCTTTCATATTCACAAAGAGCCAAATGACTGTAATCAAATTTTGGGGACTGCCCCACCCCCCAAAAAAAAGTTCTTGAAAGATGATCTAAACTGGGTTTGGTTGTACACATCAATAACCTTAACACTGAGGCAAAAACTCAGGATGAGCAGTTCAAGGTCAGTCTCAGCTACAGAGTGAATTCTAGGTCACCTTGGACTACATGACCTTACCCACAAAAGGTGTTTTTACTATATACTAATTTTACTAGTTAATATAGTTTCTTCTCTATTCTAGAAGGACAAAAGGCATTTGTTAACTACTAGGCAGTCATTAGTAGGTAAGCAGCTCTTTAATGCAGAAACTGTTGGTTTCATTATATTGGTTACATATTGATTTTATTCAGGCTTGTCAATTAAGAAATACAAACAAGAGACTCTTAGTTGCTTCTACAGGTCCAATTTTTCATTACAGAAGCTGTTAAACACAGCTCTGAAATAGTGGAGTATAGTCAGCAAGAGACTTGGGTAGAGCAACAATTCATCTGAAATCCACAATTATATGTATTTACTTCCTTTGGTGCCTTGTACAGTAAGGCACTGTTAAGGATGTTACAGAATAGAGGAAAATACCACAGCAAATAGTTCTAGTGACAACTTACTAATAAACAAGTTACAATGTGATGATGGTGATTGTTTCTTTTCATTGTGATTTTTACAGTTAAGTACAGCCTTTATACTCCACACATAAAATAAAACAAGTGCTTATTATGAAATAGTCCCTGCCCATCCCCCCTCAATATACTGAACATAGCAGTTTAATAGAACAGAAAAATCAAGACAAGTCTGATTTCAAATTTTCAATAAAAAAGCAAAATTATGTAATGCAACAGCTGTTCAACTTGCAACTCTAATAGGCCCCAAACAAAAAAGCCCTGTATAAGTTTCTCCAGCACACAATCCAGTAGAAATGGTCAACTGCGATCAACTAGGAGCCTTAGAACAGAAGTTATATTGCTTCCCTGCCTCCTTTTATAGTCGGAGGCACAGGTATCAGGAGATACAACAGTCAAAGGAAGAAGAATTTTAAAGAAAAATTCCCAAAGTTGCTGCTGTTTGGGATAAAAAGGAAGACAGTATTTTACAAATGTTCAAAGATTGCAAGGCATTAACACAATTCATTCACTATCACTCCTACTTAAAAGAATAGAGATCAGCATCTTTTTATATAAAACTGGACGTTCAGAACTGCATTACAGGTTCACCAGAAACTATGGATGTAGTTTTAGGCTTTATCAAAGAAAACAGGTTCAGTTCAGATCATTAGATACTATATAACTAGCCTGGATGGTATCTAGAACTGTCCCCCTGAACGGCTGTAAACTAAACAATAGCATGTTAACTCCAGAGGAAGCTTAAGGATTGAAGATTATGCACAGCTAATTAGATCTCCCCTGCTTCACGCTCTTCAGAGCTCCTCCTGTCTTCTGATCTGCCATTAGTACTCTCATAGGACCGCTTCTTATCTTTTCGATCTCGGTCACGAGGTGATCTGTCTCTTGAACTCCTGTCTCTGTCACGTGATGCTAAGTCTTGGTCTCTGAATCTTTCTTTTGAGGATCTGAAAAATATTAATTTGAGGAGCAAAATATGTTGGGACACCCAAAATCCAATGAAAGAATAGGATAAATATTAAGTTTCTGATACCTGAAGAAATAGATTAGAATACATCTGAGAAGAGAGTTTTTTGACAGAAAAGAGCACTAGGGACACCAAAACAAAATTGGTGGCAACGAACAGCTACAGGTTAAAAAGTCTAAACTAAGCAACAACTTATAAATATTCTTACTATTTGAGATAACCATGAAGTTTCTCCAACTGACAAAAGATATTTAATATAAAAATAATGAATAAGTAATAGCTTTTAAAAGTTAAAAGTATCAGAGTCCAAATAGGACGGAAATCAATGAATTAGTACAGAGGTCAGATTTTTTTGGGATAAATGAGCTGACAATAAAGATTTGGTGTTAAAAATCACACACAATCTCAGAGTGTCTGTCTATTCTATCAACTTTTAAAACGTAAAAACGCAGAACCATCCATAGCTTGCTGGCTGTACAAAAATCAGGCCACAGCCACATTTATTCTATAGGCAGCACTTGCAAACCTAAGTAACAGAACTACTCAATAATATGGCTTTAAGTAACCATGTGCTGATTTAAAAATCTGCTTTGTTCCTCGACTGAATTCATTAAAAACAAATGGATTATACCATAATTAAATACTAACACTACTATCTCCATTCTCATAGTCATCGTCAAAAAAAAAAAGCACATAAACAAAACACCTTCAAATCAGAAATGTAACCAGGAAAAAACAAAAAATAAACAACAAAGACATTACATAGACTCTAACTATATTGGTTAGCATAGAGTATATACTTTCAATACCTAAAATGAATTAACAACAAATATTACATTTATTTTGTTCTTTACAGGTGATACAGAATGTTTATACATAATTTATCTCAACAAAGGTTTAGAATTATGATCAGAGGCACTGCCAAGTCCTACATTAATACTTTTTTTTTTTAAAGACTTGGGAATTTAAACCTAGGACCTCAATCTGCTAAGTTTACATGCTACTAGACCTGAAAAAGCAATACTTTCAGAAAACATAAGGCAAGATAAAAATACTACTATAACCAGTTTTAAAAATATAGATAAGGACAGCATTGTAGTTTAGATATAAAACAGTCCAAAAAGATCATCAACTATTGACTTGAAACTGCTGGGTGGTGCTACAGAAAATGTGACAGGGTCACAAAGACAGTACACCAATGAATTAATCCACTGTAAGTTCATAGCTAAGCAGTCATTGAGAGGTGGACTCTGGCAGGGGAAATAACTGAAGGGGGGGATCTTATTATATTATGTGCCTGACCCTCTTAGTCTTTATTTCTTCTGGAATACACAAGGTGAACCACTTTATTCCATTATAGGCTCTCTGCCTTGGTATTCTGGTTCACCAGCCATGGGCCCAGAAGCAATTCAAAAGTAGCCATGAACTAAAATCTCAGAAAACGTGAGCTAAAAATCCTTCCTCTCATAAATTGTTTTCAAGTGTTTTGTCATAATACAATATGGTAATACAGATGATTAAAATAAAGGCTTGAAAAATTCACACTTATTTAGAGCATTCTACTTGAGGTTTTATATGCCCTTTTCCCTTTTGTTTTCTGAGTAAAGATCTATCTCCCTAGCCCAAGCTGGCCTCAACTTGTGGCAAACCTCCTGCCTCAGCCACTAGAGTGTTAGCGTTACAGGAGTTCCTGATAAATAAGCATTTAAAAAATAATATGCTTAAAAGACAAAAGGTCACATTCAAAGTCTACACAAAGTCTCTATTAATGATGATAGAAACGATCAATAGAACAATGGCATTAGATATTGGCAAGTCCCTGAGGTCAGTGATAGTAACTGAAAAAGACATGAATTAATGTTTGTACAAGATCACAAATATCCTACATAGTTTCTTATGTGTTACTACTGAAGCCTAATAAGCCAAATATTCCTATTACCTCTATTTAATGAAATAGGGAAAAACAACGGGTTGTAATTAAATTATTTGGCTAAGAATTCTGGACCCAAGCAGTCTGACTTTGAAGTCTGAACTACATTGACAGATCACCCCAAAAAGCACAAGGTTGCAAAAGGTCCTCACTGACCTGTGGGAACTGTTGCCAAGACAAGGTTCATATAGATAACTCACTTGTAGCAGAGACCAGTACTTCACAGCAATATCGAGAAAACAGCAAAATGTCAAGACCTTTAATGGACTCTATTACCATCAATAACTAAATTCACATATATACCAGTAATTTGATGTTTATATATATATATGAAATAACAATTAGCAATTATTTGCTTTGTTAAAAGCAATGATGTTTTAAATGTAATTTGAATTCAAAGATATGAAATACTCTTGAGAAAAGCAAAAACTTTTAATAGTTTTACAAAAATAATCTTCTTTTGAACAGGCTGAGTATGGTGGTAAGTTTTCCTATATAGATAAACTTCCCAAGTGCAGGAAGCATCAAGATGACACAATGACAGGACAAGACTCCCCACCCACCCCCATCTTCACTACCAATAGACATGTAAGACAAACACCAGAAAAAGGACAGCTGGGCAGGCCAGCACAGAATCATCTAGATCCTTTACCACCTAGCTGCACAATTCTCAGATTTACTCTGCACATTTTGAATCATCAAGAACATTTAAAGAAAATGTTTATTTCTGAACACCGCACTAAGGACAGCATCCAAATTCCAGTTTCAAACTGTGAGAAAGAGACCTACAGGTATTTTGCTACTTCTTTAATTACAACCATTTATTCACGACTGATCCATTATCTGAAACCATTTTTAAAAATCATTCTGAAATTCTCATCATCTAAATTTGTAATTCGCCCTATGATATCCAGGTTAGCACTTGATAACCCATGGTCAAGTATCTTCAAACTCCTTAGAGCAACACGAATATGGTTGTTTACATATGCTATTATTTCTTTACTATTTTTTAATTAAGTCTAGCACAAAGGAAAGTTACCTAATTCTTAAAGGCAGGCAGAGTGTTATATGTCCATAAACCCAGCACTCAAGAGGAAGCTGAGGCAAAAAGATTATGAATCTGAGGCCAGTGTGGGCTACATTAAGACCTTGCCCACCCCACCACCGACCTGTCTCCTAACCGCCTCCCCACATAAAAATAAACCAGTTAGAATCACTTGAAGGGGCTACTTAGAACAATGACAGAAATATACAGAATAAATGTTGATTGACAGCCTAGCCTATTAAGAAATAGAACTTGTGATTTCAGGGAATGGGCAATTCAGTCTAAAACAAAGGTATTGCCAGCTTTCTGTGGATTCAACTATGAACTTTATGTGGAGTCAGTCACAGAAAGCCCAAGACTAGTTACTAGGCACTCCCAAGTGTTTGTTTCTCTACACAAATCTAAGCATGGTTGTCAAGGAGGGAAAAAGTAATTTTAAGTACAATTTAGGTTCCATAGGATTATCATGTGTTCTGAGTTTTGGGAACTTACAACTCCGCTACATTCCAACCCTTAGTTTGTTCCCACTAGATACACAGGTCCAGTGTCTGTTCTCATTTCATCATTTGAGGTTTCCTGCTTTACTAAGAAGTGCTGTAGCTTCCACAAAACTCAGAATCTTCCCATCACACTAAAGGTGAACACAAAAGTGTATGTTTTACACTGCAGATTAAACAACATAGTAGAATGAATGTATTTACTCTTTAGAAATGCACCAGCTCCAAGTTTGGAAAACAGGCAAACAAAGCTAAATAATTCTTTTAATGAAAGGATTTCACAGAGTCCCTAATTTGTTAATACATATTGGAAAACAAAGAAAAATCCCCACAACCTCATGAGTATTAGTACCTAAAATTACTTGCCTGTAAAACAGTTTCTGATTTATCAGCATCCCTCCCACCTCCCCAAAAACCCAAGTAAAGAAAAGCAAAACCCTCTACACACACTGGCTTCAATTTCTTACCCTGGCTCACACATAACTCTGCATGAACTACCCATACATCAGGAAAATGTATACACCTACAGTTGAGTACATAGCAATACCAGGTGCAAGTTTCAACCCAATAATCTAAACGTAAGTAACACAAGTAAACAAAAGGCTTGAACATAACGGTAGCTCCGCATCCTCGGATCGGCACTTCAGTACCTCCTCTTGGATCGCTCTCGGCTCCTGTCTCTAGAACTGTGGCGACTTCTCTGGTGGCTGCGGCTGCGGCTGCGGCTACTAGAACGAGACCTGTGGCGATGTCGTTTCTCCCGAGACTTGGATCGAGTCCTCCTCTTGCGTTCTCGAGACATGGAGCGAGATCGGTGTCTGCGATGCTCTCTAGATCTAGATCTACAAGAAAATAATTTATTTCATTGTCAGTGCTAAAATTCTAAAAAGAATCTACTTTTTTTTTTCTCTTAAAAAGCGATGTGTGAGCTGGGCTGTGGCAGCCCATGCTTTTAATCCCAGCACTCAGGAGGCAAAGGCAGATGGATCTTGGTGAGTTCGAGGCCAGCCTGGTCTACAGAGCAAGTTCCAGGACAGCTAGAGAAACACTATTAGAAAAACCAAAAAGAAAAGGAAAGACAAGGAAAAGAAAGTGATATGTATATGCATGGGCATATCATCACAGGACATGAGGGGAGTCAGAGGACAATACGAGTCCCAGGAACTGAACTCAAGTTATCAGGCTTGAAGGTAGGCACCTTAACCAGTTTAGCCATCATGCCAGGACTAAGACTCAATAAATAGCTCTACTTGATGGAAATCAGAGCCCAAATAAACTATATGTGCATGGAAATAGATTGCTAGTATATTAATGACTGGCTACTAGGATTTCAAAATAAAAAACACAAGAGCTAATTTTCAGAAGTCAACTAATACTGTATACATTTGTCAGTTAACCAGTGATATAGTGAAGGGGGAAAGTGGGAAATAATATAGAAATGATGAGATAAAAAAGATGGATTGTTGAATCTACTTTTTTTTGTGTGTGTGTTTTGTTTTTTACGAGACAGGGTTTCTCTGTATTATTTTGGAGGCTGTTGGTCTAGCCTAGCCTCGAATTCACAGAGATCCGCCTGCCTCTGCCTCCCGAGTGCTGGGATTAAAGGTATGCGCCACCACCGCCCGGCTGAATCTACTTTTAAACAACTACTGGTCAAAAACTTTTTACATTAGCATGGGTTTTTGTATACTGATACAAATTTAAGGGTATTTTTGTTATACTGTATGTATGTCTCATCTCTTATTTAAGGTACTGTACCTTGCAGCTCATTTTAAAAGGTTACGTAAAGTTTTGGTATTGGAAAGCTACTTAGGATAAAGAAATACAGGTTAGTAGTTAGTCATCTGTAACAATCAAATTCAGTCATGTTAGGTATCTTTCAAGGTCAAACATATTTTTAATAGGTGGTCTTCAAACACTTCAAAGACCTACGGAATATGACATTTAAACTGTTTTAATAACATAAGGCTTTTCATGACAATGATACATATCTGCACCTGGCAACACCAATCTACTTCATAAAAGGATGATAGGCATTGAGAACTTGCCTATGGAGTCTGCTTTTAATGTGCAAAGTTAGCCATTTGGGCAACAAACTGCCCTTGCCTTGACTGTTGACAGTGTGCTGTCCAAAATGGACAAGCAGGACACCATAAAAAGCCAATTCCAGATTTTATTTTATTTTAGTTTTTTAGAGACAGGGTTTCTCTGTGTTGTTTTGGAGCCTGTCGTGGAACTAGCACATGTAGACCAGGCTAGTCTTGAACTCACGGAGATCCGCCTGCCTCTGCCTCCCGAGTGCCGGAATCAAAGGCATGCACCACCACCGCCAGCAGATGCCAAATTTTAACAAGACAAGGTAAATTCCTTCTTTACAAAAATGCCTGTCAAATATTCTAGGCCTGTAGGTCAAAGATAGATGCCCCAACATTACAGACGAATTGTCCAAGAGGTCTCTGTCATCTCTATAGTTTTGGAAGTTGTTGGCTCTGTACTTTCTGTTTACTCAAGTAATAGTTTATCTTTCTCAGGTCTGTGACGGAGTTGAAGACAAGATAGTTATAGTTAGCTTTCTTTGTTACCAAACTAAAAAAGAACTTACCAAGAGATGTAAAATATACAGGCTGAGAAACATAAAAGATTAAGTTGTTTATCTAAAAATATGTTTTTAGCCGGGCAGTGGTGGAGCATGCCTTTGATCCCGGCACTCAGGAGGCAGAGGCAGGCAGATCTATGTGAGTTCAATGCCAGCCTGGTCTACAGAGTGGGTTCCAGGACAGCCTCCAAAGCCAAACAGAAACCCTGTCTCAAAAAAACCAAAAAAAAAAAAGTTTTTAGATCTAAAAAGATATTTTTTAGTATGGCAATACAAGTTAGAACAAAAAGTGGTTTAGGCATAAAACTTTGGGCTAAAATAGGATAATACAGTAAGTACATTCTCCAAATCTGCCAAACACAAATGGAGTGGACATTGTGAATGTAATTTCTACCTGATAATTATTCTTACTGTATATAGTTTTACTGTGTTAGTTAAAACCTTTCCTTTTTATTTAGCACAGGCTGCTCTTCCAGAGGTCCTGAGTTCAATTCCCAGCAACACATGGTGGCTCACAACCATCTGTAATGAGATCTAGTGCTCTCTTCTGACATGCAGGCATACATACAGACAGAATAGTGTATATATAATAAATAAATCTTTAAAAAGAGAAATAAAAAAGAGGGGGATGTTACGGAATAACCTTTTTGTGCACTGTGAAGATGTGTCACACTGACTGATTTCATAAAAAGCTGAATGGCCCAAGATCTAGGAAGGATTTACAGGCACATAGGACGCTGGAAAGAAAGACAGAGAGGGGAAGAGACAGAGGAAGTAGGGAAGCAGGATAGACAGTATGTAGATGAGATAAACAAGCCTGGGACAGCATATAGGTTAATAGAAATAGTTAATTTAAGTTATAAGAGCTAGCTACAAATAAGCCAAAGCTATCAGTCAAGCTTTCATACTTAAGAGAAGTCTCCATGTGGTTATTTGAGAGTTGTAGCTCAGTGGTACAGAACGTGCTTAACATCCAAGGGGCTAATAGGACCAACCCCACTATTAGACAGAACAGGGGGGAGCTAAGTGTATAAAAATGCTTGCTGCGGGTGTTGGTGGTGGCGCACGCCTTTAATCCCAGCATTCGGGAGGCAGAGGCAGGCGGATCTCTGAGTTCGAGGCCAGGCTGGACCGACAGCCTCCAAAACAATCAGAGAAACCCTATCTCGTTAAAAAAAAAAAAAACTATGCATAATAATTAATTTTGGGGCTGGAGAGATGGCTCAGCGGTTAAGAGCACTGACTGTTCTTCCAGAGGTCCTGAGTTCAATTCCCGGAAACCACATGGTGTCTCACAACCACCTTGAATGAGATCTAGTACCTTCTGCTGGCCTGCAGGCAGAAGGCTCTATACACAATAAATAAATAAAATATTTTTAAAAAATGCTTGCTGCACAACCATGAGTATCAGAGTGTGGATCTCAGCACACACATGTAACACCAGCTGAGGGCAGAGGAGAGGAGGGCTGCTGAGGCTTCTGTTTACGCCCTAGCTGAGAAACACAAACCCCCAGACTCAGACAGGGGTCATAGAGGATAATACCAAAGCTCTCTTCTGACCTTCACACACACACTCACGGATATAAACACATACGCCCAAAAACCAGTAATACAAAGGTTTATCAGGGGAAGTTGTTTGTGGCAGCACACTGAGTTCGAGGCCAGCCAGGGTTACATACACATAGTGAAAAGACTCAAGTTTTATCAGGAGCTGAAGAGATGGCTCAGCAGTTAAGAAATGGGTTTACTCTTCCAAAGTTCCTGAGTTTATAATACCCAGCAACCAGAAAGTGGCTTACAGTCTTTATAATCCCAGCATTCAGGGGGAGGAAGTAGGAAGATAGCAAGTTGATTGGCAGCCTAGGATACTATAACACATGTCAAAAACAGGAAAAAAACAAAAACAAAAACATGGGAATGTTTTAAGATGGATTGTGTTGATAAGTGTGCCAACAGCTTCTCACAAACTTAAACAGCTCTTAAGGCATATAAATTGAACCTCAATGATATGGTTAAAAATGTTTCAAATTACCACAAAAATGTAGTATTCCTCACACCTTAAAAAGCACAGTAACTGTGTGGAACAGTTTGTTTTTAAATGAATATTTTGGTTTTTTGTCTTAAATTTGATACAGCCTCACCATGTAGACCAGGCTGGTCCCATATTCTCAGAGATCTGCCTGCCTCTGCCTTCCAAGTGCTAGGAATGAAGGCCTGAGCCACCACACAACTACAGAAGAATTTTCATTAAACAATTATTTACATTTATTTCATTTTTTTTGTGTGTGTGAGTGCTTTGCTGAATGCCCGTGCACTCTATGCATGCCGGTATCCACCAAGGTCAGAAGAGAACGCTGGATGGATCCCCAATAGCTGGGATTAGAGACTGCTATGAGCCACCACTTGATTGATGGGAATGAAAGCCAAGTTCTTTGCAAGAACAAATGCTCTTAACCACTGAGTCATCTCTCTAGCTCAATTTCTTTTGGGGGGGGGTGGTTTGCTGAGACAGGTTATTTTTTTATGTAGCTTTGTAGACCAGAATGGCCTCCAACTCACAGAGATCTGCCTACCTCTGCCTCCTAAGTGCTGGGATTATACATGTGTACCACCACTGCCCGGCTCAGCTCAGTTAGTAATAATTTATTGATTCTCATTGAAATTTGAAAGATACATAATCTAAAAAACATACATTTGAAAAATACAGCTTCACTATTTTAGCCATCTTCTACAGTACCTACCTTTTGGGATTCTTGCTATGTGAGCGGGACCTAAAAAAAGAATATCTACTTTTAGAAAAGTGACTACATGAAGTTTTTAAGCTGGCACAATGTGCTGCTAAATGCCATTCGTCTTTGAGTCCTGACTTTCGTGTCACTTCTATAAAAACAAAGCATATACTTATGCATCAGTCTCCTGGGGGAGGGGGGACTATACAGAATTCTCTACCTTGTCACTGAAGTTCCTTCAACTAGATACTTGACTTAGGAAAGAATATACTTCTGGAGACTGAAACTGTGTGCTTATCACAAAACAATTCTCCAGAAACTAAAACAACAGAAACAAACACATTTTTTTTTTCTGTATGTTTCAAACTGTACTTTATCTTCTGGGAACAAAGAAAAATGTTTCAAGATCTAAAATGACCATTTTTAACCTACAACCTCATGCTATAATACCAGAAAGATGAACTCAACTTCACATCTTTGTTCATTTACATGAATTATATTCTTTAAAGAAGGAAATTAGTATTGTGTGTGTACATGTGAACATGAGTGTGCATGACTCATAAGGCTAGAAGCATTGGATCCCCTGAAGCTGGGGTCACAGGAAATTGTTACCTGCCCAATGTCTAACCTGGCAACTGAACTCAGGTCCTTTCAAAGAGCAGTGCATGTTCTTAATCAGTAAGCTAACTCTCTCCAAAATGATTGTCTGCAGTGGCATCTTGCCTTGCCAGTGAACGTGTGGTGGTGTTCACACCCTCTTGGCTTGGTTTCAAGTGCAGATGTGACCCATTATAAGGTAGAGAAGAAGATACTCTTAGCAAAACAAGAGAACATGAGCCAGCTCCTCCTCTGCGTTATATTGGATCACCTGAAACCACGCCCAAAGAGTGTGGCCACCACAAGTTCACTGGCAAGGCAAGATGCCACTACAATTATCTTCCTTCATTTTTAGGTTAAAAGATGCTGGATCCCAGAACTGTGAGCCACCCCATGTGGGTGATGCTGAACCATCTCTCCAACTTCCAAATGATGTTAACTCTACATTTCCCAGTACAGTGTTAGCACTCAAACAATTCCACTTCATGGGTTTATTTTGAGTGTGTGCTCTCTCTCTCTCTGTCTCTCTCTGTCTCTGTCTCACTCCCCCCCCCCCCCGTCTCTCTCTCTCTCTCTCATGGCAAGCATATTTTAAAGTATGCTTTGGGTTGTATTAACTATGGTTTTATCCATTCATTATCTGTGCTGTGCAACCAGGAGAAAAGTATATATCCTCCTTTAGTTTAATCTATCAATTTTAAGACAGAAATAGCAATATAAATGTCATTAGATATGAAATGTCCCGCAAAAGCTAATGAGCTGAAGATCTGGTCACCAACTGGTATATCTAATCATCCAGAGCTAATTGGATTACAAGGGCTCTTGTTCAATCAATGGATAAATTAATCTACATCTCTTTAAATGTGTGCATGTATACCCCATGCATGTGGATACCTGTGCAAACCAGGTGTTGGATCCTATGAGTTGGGAGTTACAAGCAGTTATGAACAGCTCAATGTGGCTGTTGGGAACTAAACTCAGTCTCCTGAAAGAGCAGTAAGCACCCCTAGCCATTTTTCAGCCCTAAAAACAGATCCTTAATTTGATGGTACTGTTGCTAAATTACAGAAACCAGTAGATGAGACATAAATAAGCCTTTCTTCTTTTAAACTGTTTCTCGAGTATTTTCTAATACCAGATAAACTAAGGCAAATTCTTAGTACAGAGCCTGACATATAAATAGCCCGTAAGTGACATACTCTTTTTGTTGATTATATCAAGAGCAATTAAAAACCAGCTTGTGTAATTTTATACTATTTTATAACTTTATCTTGTGAACATATTTACAGTACTTCCTCAATGTCATAAAACTTAAAGGAAAAAAACCTGCTTCAACTTTTGTTTTGAGGAAGTCTTACACTACAGGTCAGGTTGGTTTTGAACTAGGTATTCTGAGTGCTAAGATTATAGATATGAACCAACAAACACCTGCTTTGTTTTTTTGAGGGGGACGAGGACTCACCATGTAACTTAGGTTGGGTCCAAACTCTACAGAGCCTAAGCTAGCCTCAAAGCTACAGGTCCTCTAACTTCACATGTATGTGCTGGGATCACAGGCATGTACCCATGCCCGGCTAAGTATTTCTCCAATAGGGCTACACTTGCAATCAGAAGGAGTGAGAGGTGATCGACTTTCTTGACATCTGCAAATAGTATAGTCCTATTAAAAAGAAAGCGAGGTGGCGGGCGGTGCTGCAGAGGCAGGTGGATCTCTGTGAGTTGGAAACCAGTCTGGTCTACAGAGCAAAGTGCAGGACAGCTGGGACTCCATAAAGAAACACTGTCTCAAAACACAAACAATTCTAAATAATCCAATACTGAATAATATCTCTAGAAAAACACAGCCTAGGACTGAGCATAGTAACAAGTGTTTGCACTCAGACAGTTGGCCTGTGTTACACAACAAAACCTAGGCTTAACAACCAAATAACCTAGACACGATGATACACATACTTTTAAGAGTTATAGCACAAGTGCAATCTGGAGGGAGGGGCTGGAGAGATGGTTTAGAGATTAAAAGCATGGTCGCTCACAACCATCTATAATAAAATCTGGTGCCTTCTAGTGTGCAAGCATGCATGTAGATAACTGTACACATGATAAATAAAATCTTTAGAAAAAAAAAGGTAAAACTTTGTGAGTTCAAGGTCAGTTTGTTCTACAGAGAGTTCCAGAACAGCTAGGGATACACAGAGACCTTGTCTCAATAATAGTAATACTAAAAATGCAACAAGAGACTTTGACTCAATAAGGTGAAAGACAAGAACCAATTCCAGAAAACAGTCCTCTGACTTAACACATACCCCACTACACAAAGACACTGACAACCCCCCCCACACACAAAACAGAAAAACGGGTGGGGGTACACAACCTCAGCATACACTACAAAGAGGTTAAGTCCTAACATGAAATTTGTTAAATGGGAAAACACCAGGGAGAGAGAAATGGGGAAGGGTGAGATAGAGAAAGAAAAGGGATTTCTCACACAGATGACAACAGCATTGTACTGCTTTGTCCAGTGAAGTGGCCAGGGAAAAGGCCTTGCCATCTAAGCTTGGTGGCCTCAGTTCAGTTCCCATGGTGAAAGTCCTGAACTTCACTTGAGCAGTGAGAGACCCAACTGCCTGCCGAGTGCATGCCCACACTTGCACACAGAGCCATGTAACGCGACAAGAAGTTCACCTAAACTGAGAAGCTATGCTCAGAGCTTTTGAGTTAGCACCAACAATAATTTTCTTCTTGTTCTTCTTCTTTTTTTTTTTTTTTTTTTTTTTTTTGAGACAGGGTTTCTCTGTGGCTCTGGAGGCCCAAACAAACATGGGCAACAATGATTTCTAATGATGTTTAACCACTCCAAATATGAAGATACCAAACTTACCAATAAATGAGTTAACATAAGCAGACTTGCTGTGTCAAGTTAATGATTTTATAATCATGGATGTGGTGACACAGGGGAGGAAGAGGCCAGCCTGGTCTACAGAGCAAGTTCCAGGACAGCCAGAACTACACAGAGAAACCCTGTCTCAAAAAACAACAAAAGACAAAATAATAACAGTAATAATTTATGGCACCCACAATTGAGAAAATAGTAGTAGCTTAACATAAAAACAAAAACTCCCAAACTACTCCTCAAAAAGTATAAAAGGAGGCACACTGGAGTGCTTGCCCAGCATGCACCAAGACTGGGCTCAAGGCCCAAGACCAACACCAAAGAGAGAAAAGGCCACACACAGTTCTGTGCTAAGAAGCTACAAAACAAGCCCAGTATGAAAATACTAGTACTAGCAAGAGTTTTGCTGTAATTCATTCAACCTAAAGACACGAGACAGCCCCTACTCTCTTATTTTCCATAACCCTTAGAGAAGTCACATCAGTTCAGTAGACTGCCAAAAAGCCGATAAAGACTGAACACTATTAGCATGAAAAATGTGAAATCCAGACATGATACTCAAAAACTGTGACTTTCGGATCATTTCAGATTTTAAATTAGAAATGCTGGTAAGGGCCGGGCGTTGGTGGTGCACGCCTTTAATCCCAGCACTCGGGAGGCAGAGGCAGGCGGATCTCTGTGAGTTCGAGGCCAGCCTGGTCTACAAAGTGAGTTCCATGACAGCCTCCAAAGCTACAGAGAAAACCTGTCTCGAAAAACAAAACAAACAAACAAAAAACAAAAAGCGCTGGTAAGGCTTCTTTACTCAAGACTCTCCAATTCAGAAATAACAAATTTTGAAACATTTCTGATTTAAAGCGTTTTGGATAAATATAAGCTATTGAATCTGTATTGTTTCTATCAAAATGGTCTTGCTTTTGTTGTTGTTGCTGTTGTTGTTTTTGTTTTCTGACACAGTGTTTCTCTGTGTAGCCCTGGCTGTCCTAACACATGCTATGTGGACCAGGCTAGCCTCAAACTCAGAGATTGCCTGCCTCTGTTTCCTGAATGCTGGGATTAAAGGCGTACACCACCACAGCCCAGCCCTACAACTCTTTTGATTAGCTTTTTCTAAAGCTCTGACCATCTCATTCTGTCTTCATGCCACGTAGTATCTCTAATTTTTTAAATTGTTCCATTTTAATTTGTTCTGTGAACCCCCAATTATTACAGTATGCCATGGCACAAACTTAGAGGTCAGAGGACAACTTTTGGGAACTGGTTTTTGTCTTCCACCTCGGAGGTCTCTGGGATTGAGGGTCACCATGCCCAGCTTGCATGGTGACATTTTTGAAAGGGTCTCTATGCCCACAACCAGTTTAATAGCATCTTCAAGATATATTTCCTTCAGGCTGAAGAGTGAGCTTCAAACACATGCACTATTTCTGAGACTGTACATACCTTCTCAATTTCTCCCGTTCTTCTCTCTCCCTCTCTTCTCTTCGTTTCAGACGTTCCTGGTTTCTTTTCTCCTGCTTCTCAGCTACAACTCTCTTTAAAATAAAAAAATTTAAAAACCAGTTGTACTGGGCAAATCCTTAATTATCTTTACCTTAAACTATATCTGGTTTCCCATGTAATAAAATTAACATAATTAAAAAATTTGTCAGGTACAATTATTAGACTTCAAGTTGATTTCCCAGAATTGTGGAAAACATGTAAAACTTCATAATTCACTATGATTTCTTTTCTCCAAGCATGAAAGGCAAGCATATTACCAATGAACTTCAGCCCTGCCCTATCATTTCTTAATGACATTAAAGAAACAAAAACTACAGACTGGAGAAATGGCTCAGAGGTTAAGAGCATTAACTGTTCTTACAGAGATTCCAAGTTCAACTCCCAACAACCACTTGGTGGCTCACAACCATCTATCTATAAGATCTCTTCTTGTGGCATCTAGGTAATCAATCAAACAGAACACTGCATAATAAATGAATCATTAAAACCACAACAACAACAATCACATGCACATGACCTTCCCTGTTTCTCAGCATCCTCATCCACTTTAAACGGTCTCAATAGTGTTGAATCAGAATGAGTAGTACTATTCAGAAACTAACTGTAGTTACAGCTACACAGTGAGACCTTGCCAATGAAACCAAGAGAAAAATGATAACAGAACCAGGTTAACCAGGATAAAGTGAGAAATAGTAATTTACACAAGGTACCTTTAATTCTTCGAGTTTTTCTCTTATTTCAATGAATCCCAGGTGCAGTTTACCCCCAAAATGGTCAGCAAGTCGCCTGTCATTATCATGAAGACCTAAATATGCAGAACAGACTTCACAGACTCGAAGTTTCTGCTGCTGGAAACTGGAAGCTGGCATAGAATTCCGATAAACTTCCTAAAGAAAAGTGAGAAAAAAATGATCTCTGTAAGAAAATAAGCTATATACACACAGATGTTTTCTAATAACTTCTTTGAGAACACTCCAGTGAAGGACAAAGCTTTACCTATTCTTTACTCCCGCCAGTCCCCAACACAACGGATGACGGAAAGGTCAATAATCTTCATCAGGATTCTGATGACCTGCCAACCCACACACTCTCACAGTGAACAGTACACACTGGTGAACCTGCTCCACACACTCACTAGTGAACAGTACACACTGGTGAACCTGCCCCACACTCTCACTAGTGAACAGCACACACTGGTGAACCTGCCCCACACACTCACTAGTGAACAGCACACACTGGTGAACCTGCCTCACACTCACTAGTGAACAGCACACACTGGTGAACCTGCCCCACACACTCACTAGTGAACAGTACACACTGGTGAACCTGCTCCACACACTCACTAGTGAACAGTACACACTGGTGAACCTGCCTCACACTCACTAGTGAACAGTACACACTGGTGAACCTGCCCCACACTCTCACTAGTGAACAGTACACACTGGTGAACCTGCCCCACACACTCACTAGTGAACAGTACACACTGGTGAACCTGCCCCACACTCTCACTAGTGAACAGCACACACTGGTGAACCTGCCCCACACACTCACTAGTGAACAGCACACACTGGTGAACCTGCCTCACACTCACTAGTGAACAGCACACACTGGTGAACCTGCCTCACACTCATAGTGAACAGTACACACTGGTAAACCTGCTCCACACTCTCACTAGTGAACAGCACACACTGGTGAACCTGCCCCACACACTCACTAGTGAACAGCACACACTGGTGAACCTGCCGACCCACTATTCTTGTTTCCTTTACTAAGATGATACTGTTTTTAAGGCAATTAAAAAGTTTTTTCCAAGACTTAGGTAGCTTTAGCTAGGATGACACGGATTTTAAAAAAGCTGAATAGAATGTACAGAGAAGTTAATCAAAAGAGAACTGAAGCAGAAATCATCAAAGAAAGGGGTGAGGAACTCAATTGTAAGTGCTTATCCTACAAGCCTGAAGGTAACCAAAAGTTAAAAACCCACAACAGGCAAAACTGGAAAGGTGGGTTAGTGGGTAAAGACACTTTTGGCCAAGCTGAGGGCTGAAGTACAGTTCCCAAGACCCACATTGTAAAAGGAAGCCCAAGGTAGAAGAAGAGACTGACTCTTACAAGTTGTCTGCTGACCTCACACCAGTGCCACCACACGTGTCCTCCCCTCAAACGGCGGCATGGCGATGGGTGGTTGTAATTTGAGCAACCGGGAGATAAGGACAAGTGGATGGATCTCAGGGACTGACTGGCTGGCCAGGCTGCCTACTTGACAAGTTTCAGGCCATTCAGAGACTAGGTCTTAAAATTTTAAAGGCAGACAGACAGCTCCAAGGGCTATACTCTCTTTTCCACACATGTATACACATGAATATAGACACACACAAGAGTAAATATTTATATACACACACAGTGCTGACGACCGAATGCACACACACACACACTTCAATCACCAGTGGACACTATAGCCTATGAATTGAAAAACATAAATGGGCTACAGGGATGGCTTAGTGGTTAGGAGCACTGTGTTTACTCTTCCAGAGAAACCAGGTTCTATGTTTAGCAGTCAAATGGCAGCTTACCATTATCATAACTCAAGCCCAAGGTATACACTGCCTTCTTCCAGGCTCTGGGCACCAGGTAAGTACAAAGTGGAGATATATACATATAGGCAAAACACCCATACATAAAAAACAATTAAGCCTTTTTTTAAAGGAGAGGGGCAATTTGAAAAATATAAATAAGGTACTAATTACAAAAGGAAAACACTTCACAGTGGGCAAATGCTACTACCATCAGAAATTTAAAAACTACACAGATGGGGATCACAAGATCAAGACTAAGCTGAACAGCTCCAAGGCCCTATTCTTCTAAAATGGACATTTTAAACAATGGGGATAAACCAGGCAGTGGAGGGTTACTCCTTTAATCCCAGCACTTGGGAGGCCAGCTTGGTCTACAGAGCAAGTTTCAGAACAACCAGAGCTACAAAGAAAACCCTGTCTCAAAAAAGAAAAAGGAGGAGGTAGGAAAATAACTAACACGCATTCAATGCAGTAGGCCTTTCTCTTTCTCCAGCTAAAATTTTCTTGATGTCTTAAGGTCATCACTATGATATGGGTATTGTATTTGTGCTGTCTTCTTCCTGTATAAATATTAACATTAAGATACACAAATATGAGCCAGGCGTTGGTGGCGCACGCCTTTAATCCCAGCACTCGGGAGGCAGAGGCAGGCGGATCTCTGTGAGTTTGAGGCCAGCCTGGTCTACAGAGCAAGTTCCAGGACAGCCTCCAAAGCCACAGAGAAACCCTGTCTCGAAAAACCAAAAAAAAAAAAAAAAAAAAAAAAAAAAAAAGATACACAAATATACTTAAGTTACTAAGATCGTTTGCTTCTGCTCTGCTTTTCCACACTAGTTTGAAGAATAGAAGTAGTAGAACAGAATAGAATAGTATGTATCTCATATCAGTTTGAATAATAGGGCTTCATTTTTAATCTTGTCACAACAGATCCTGCCATCTTTTTATTTCAAGACAGGGTCTCAATAGACTGGTTGGTTACAAATCTTCAGCTGCTGGGAATTGTAGATGTGAGCCATTTTAGCTGCTACTCTGTACAAAAATATTTTAAATTCTAGATTTAAGAATTAAAAAAAAATAAAGAAAACTAGAATACTGCCCAGAGTTAAAAAAAAAAAAAGAGAGATCATCATGAAATATAGATGTCAGCAGATGAGGCAAAAAGACACTACAGCAAAAGACTACATTATAAGCAAAAGACCACATCATAATCTCCACCAAATATATTTGAGTTTCTACACATGAGGTGCTTGCTATACCAACCAAAACAGAATTTGTTTGTGTTGTTAGATTTTTGAACTTTACCATAATATTAGATGAGAGAAGGCCCCCAAGGTAGTAGCAGACTGTACTGCTATGGTAAGTAAAGCTGCTGAGAAAAAGGGTAGGTAGGCACAGTGCATATAGGCGTTGTTTGTTTTATGTGGGTAATTGGTTAAATTACATTTATGAAGTTGTAAATTTCAATATAGCTATGACTACAAATTTCTAAAAACTACTTATTGATTTAATTTCCTTTAATTACATTTTGAATAATTTCCAGTTAAATATCTATTTTATAAAAAGTACAGACACTAACATTTTACCACTATTAAGAACTTATCTCTTTTTAAGATAGCTGGGTCTCACAATAAGACCTTGTCCCAAAGCAGAAGAGGAATTTTACCTCTGCTTCTCTTTTCTTTGCTCGTGCTTTTTCTACTTCATCCATGACTTTCTGAGATTCTTCCACATTTCCTTCAGCTCCCAGTTGTTCCACTTTGGCCAACAATTTACCTATTTCTTCATTTAACTCATGAACACGCTCTGCCTAGGAAAACAAAAGAAGACCATGAATGAAAACAGAGTGAAGGGCTGAAAAGATAGCTCAGCAGTTCAAATCTCGGGCTGCTCGTCTAGAGAATCTGGGTTCAGTTCCCAGCATCCACACTGCAGCTAACAACCACCTGTAACTCTAGTTCCAAGAAATCCAACACCCTATTCTGGCATTAGAAACATGTCTGATGCACAGACAGACATATATGCAGACCAAACATAAATACACATAATAAAAAAGTTGAAAGGAGCATAAACAACGTATTTCAGAAACTCTTTTATAAAAGACCCATTTTTTTTTTTGTTGTTTTTTGTTTTTTGTTTTTACGAGACAGGGTTTCTCTGTATTGTTTTGGAGGCTATCGGTCCAGCCCAGCCTCGAACTCACAGAGATCCACCTGCCTCTGCCTCCCAAGTGCTGGGATTAAAGGCGTGTGCCACCACCGCCCGGCCTAAAAGACCCATTTAAGACCCACTTACGTAGTGTCTTGCTACAGACGAGGCTGGACTTAATTCCCAGTCCTCCTCTCTGTGACCAAGTACAAGTATACATTACCATGCACAGAGATCAATGTTTAACTTAATAGAAACATATAATCTTAACAAAGTAGTATTTCAATTCAAGACTTTCCTTTCCTCAAGGGTCCCTATTCTTTTATGACTATTCCTTTATCAAAGTGGTATTTTCTTTAAAGTATTATTGAACGATTGCATTAATAATCAAAGCTCTTCAATCTTCTTTGCATCTGCACCCTCACAGTTTTACTTTGATTCTAAACTCATGCATATATTTGCTTTGATTATGGCAATGGAGAACACACATATCCTAAGAAAGGCTTGAAAAACATTTGCATAACTGGATATGATGCTTCTGCCTGTCTTCAACCACCAGAAGAAAATGGTCAGCTTAGCCCTCAAAGAACAGCTTGGCAGCCTGCAGTTGACTGCAAAACATGTGTAAAAACATCCCTGCTGAGACAAGAGTACTGTGCAATCAAGTTCATTCTCACTGGTTCATCCCATGCAGTTTGAGTTACTGTTTGAGGTCATTAGTTATGGGTCTCTTCTGCAGTGATGGATGACCAAGGCAATACTGCATAACCAATACAGATCCTCAGAACCCAATCACTGTAGACTGCTTGACCATGAGATACATGGTCTCTGATATCAACAATTCTCAACCTTCTGAAAGCTGCCACCCTTTAATATAGTTCCTCATATTGTAGTGATCCCCAACCATTAAATTATTTTTGTTGCTATTTCAGTACCATAAACTATGGTGGCAGCTACACAAGTTTATGTGTGCTAAAATAAAAAAAGCCAGGGACTGGAAAGACGCACTAGTGCAGTGGTTAAGAGCACTTGTTACACATACAGAGGACCCAGGCTCAGTGCCCAGTATCCCTAACAGGTGGTTCACAACTGTAACTGCAGGTTCAGGAACTCTGATTCACTAATTTAACCTGCATGAATGCCAGGTATGTATGCACATGATGTACACAGAAGCAAAACACTCATGCACATTATATGTAAATGAATACATGCACCACTGGCAAATTCTAAGTGAAATATAATTATCAATGTTGTTATATTAGTTACCATTTGGTAGGTAAAAACAATTCCACTGAATACCCTACTTAAGTTTACAATCCAATTATTGAAAAATCAAAAGATTGGAATAAGTCTGGCATGGTGACTCACTAATCCTAGCACTCAAGAGGCAGAGACAAGGGCAGAGGCAATGACATTTCTATGAATTCAAGACCAGGCTGGCCTATACAGTAACTTCCAACCCAGCCAGGGGCTATACAGTTAAGACCCTGTCTCAAAAACAACAAAAAGTAACATAAAAAAAATTGGAGTGAAGAAAATGAGTTAAAAATATACTTTATAATCCCTGCCTTGGGAGGCAGAGGTAGAAGAATGCAGGTCTCTGTGAGTTTGAAGATAGTCTGGTCTATAGAGTGAGATCCAGAATAATCATGGATACAAAGGCAGATCCTATCTCAAGCAGTAACAACAAAAACAAAAAACAAACAAAACACCCTATGCTTGACCTAATAACATGATTAAAATTCTTACCTTTGCTGCCACCTCAGCACTTATCTCTTCTTGAGTCTCTGCTAATCTTTTCTTAGACACTTCTGTTCTTCTGTCACAATCTGCAATGAATGACTGCAGATGATCCATGGCCTAGAAAATTTAGTATAAAACCATTACTGGTATAAAGTCAATGTTATCCAGAAATATCTTTACTAAGCACTGTATTTTGGGTAAGGGATGAAGCCCTAAGTACAAAAAAACACCCAGTAATAATAAGAGAGTAGCGCACCACTGTAATCTCAGCACCTGGAAGCCTGAAACGAAACGGTAAGCTGAACCAGCTTGAGGGACATAGCAATGTGTCATGTCAACCAAAGCAATGCAGCCAAACAAAAAGAAATGGTTTTAGGGTGTTAATAACTCAATTACTACTAAGCCTAATGCCCAGAGTTCCATCTCCAGGACACACATGATAGGAGAGAACTAATTCCTGAAAGCTAATCTTTCACAACAGACACACAGACAAGAGACACACACATCCCATACACACCATGGAAGACCATTATGGTATCTACAAAAACTTATTTCTCAATATCTCGACAATTGCTTGTATTCTGTGGTTTTCAAAGTTTTACAAAAATGATGAAATGAACAATTAGCAGATTTAACAGAAAAAAAATCTAACAAAGCTGTATTCTGTTTGAGGTATATTTAATGCTTATAACTAAATAATAGTTCATTCCAAAGTAAACTTTAAAGCTAGGCATGGTAGTGCACATCTTTAACCACAGCACTTGGGAGGCAAAGTGGATCTCTGAGTTTAAGTCCAGGCTAGTCTACAGAGTGAGTCCAATACAACCAGGGCTACACAAAGAAACTTGTTTTCTCCCCAACCTCCCCCCGCAAAAAAGCAAAAGAAATTTAAAAACAAATATTCAACTGTGGTGGTTTGAATGAGATATTCTACATATTCAAGCATTTGAAGATTTGGTACCTAGTCAGTAACCCTGTTTAGACAGGTTTAAGAATATGGCCTCAGCCCAATGGTAGCATTGCACGCCTTTAATCCCAGCACTTGGGAGGCAGAGGAGGGCAGATCTCTGTGAGTTCAAGGTCAGTCTGGTCTACACCTCGAGTTCCAGGACAGTTAAGGATGTTACACAGAGAAACCCTGTCTCAAAAACCAACCAACAACCCTAACAAACAAAAAACCCCAAGTAAACAAAAACACAAAACAATGACAACAAAAAGAAGTGTGTCCTTGGGACTTGAGAGATGGTTCAACAGTTAGGAGCACTGGATGCTTTTCCAGAGGACAAGGGTTCAATTCAATGGCAGTTCACAGCTGTCGGTAACTATGGCTCAAGGGGATCAGGCAACTTACAGACATGTAAACAAAACACCAATGTCTATCTATAATAAAAACAAAACTAAATTAAGTGTAGCGTTGCCGCTAGGGTCAGGCTTTGAGGTTTAAAAAGCCATTCCTAGTGCTCTCCTCTTCTTGCTAGCCTTTTAAGATGCACCAGCTGCCATCCGCTCAGCCCCTCCAACCCCACACTCCAGCACCATGATGACGCACTCTTTCTCCTTTGAGACTTCACATCCAAACAGTACCTTATCATGATGGTTTTTATCACAGGAACAGAAAAATGACTAGTTTTTTATCAACTAAAAACAGAAATTTATCCTGCACACACTGACTGAACTTAGCCGGCCAAATAAGCCAAGAATTCTCACAAAGTTAACAGAGATACTATTACCTTTTAAATTACAACACAAATCTGCTTTCATTTCCTTATATGAAGTCAAAGATAGCGTCCCAAAGTAGTAAAAATAGCAATGCAATATCAAGAAGGACTGTTGGTTCTACGGAGGAGGTATTTTGGCTACCTGTTTCTTACAGCTGAATAAATCCAAGATTTATAAAGGATTTAACTGTACAAAATGAATTGATTGCTCATAGGGCTGGAGAGATAGGTCAGCAGTTAAGAGCACTTGCTGTTCTTGTAGAAGACCTGGGTTTGGTTCCCAGTATCCACATATGGCTTACAACTATCTCTAACTCCAATCCATGAAGATCTGATGCTGTCTTCTGGTCTCCATGGATACCATGTAAAAATCTGGTAAACACATGCATGCATGCACAACATTCATACACATAAATACAAAATTGGAAATCTACAAAAACAACCATGGGTGAGAAGTATTTTCTGGTCAAAATAGAAAAGCTCTTTCAAACTGATAAAAATAGGTATTATAAGCACTGATTAGACAGTATAACTAAAAATAGTATTTAAAGACAAAAGTCATCAAAAGAAAAATAAAACAGTATTTTTAGAGCATACACAAAGGAAAGGACCAATTTTCATAATGTGTAAAGTTAATATAAGTCACTTAAAAAACTGACAGTGCTCAAGTTCAGCACTCAGAAAACAGCTGTCATTATACATGATCTTAAATACAATCAGAGCATTCGTACTCATTCCCTCCTAAAAGATGAAAATTAAAACTCCACTCAGTCTACATTTTGTTTATCAACAGTGACTAAAAAACATCTTAACAACACCGTGTAGCCCACAGGGGGAACAACGTATTACTTAAAAATCAAAACTTTCACAAAGAAAAATTAAGCATTATCTATAAAAATTACATTTTGGCTCATCTACTTTACACAGATAATGCAGAAAGCCTGAAAATAACCTCAATATTCAACTACAATGCTCCATAGTAATCTCTTTTATCTTATGCCCAGACAGAAGTACATGTGTTTTTATAGACAATTTTATTTACATAAACAAAAGTTCTTAGACATTCAGCAGTTGGGAGCTATTTACTACTATCTTCAACTAAATAAAATTACCCAATTTTAATGATTAAAAACCACTATAAGAGTTTTATTGATCATTATGTCTTATGTATATATTTCATAAAAATGCAAAAGTTTGAAAGGAAATATGTTCTTTAAAACATTTTGCATAATTTAGTTTCTCTATTTTTTATTTTTTAAGCTATTTATTTCATATAAATGCTTTGCCTACATGTATCTATGTACACCACGTGTATGCATAGTGCCTGCAAACATGAAGAGAGACCAGATCTCCTTGAACTGGAATTATGCTTTTTGAGCCAAAATGTGAGTGATGGGAGTTGAACTTTGGTTCCCTGCTGAGTCATCTTTTTCTTCCACCTCAAGTTTCTCTACTTTTATACAAGAGGGGTGTGTGTGTGTGTGTGTCAACATTAAATCACAAGTGTAACTCTGATACTTAAACTGTATTTTCTATTTCTTTTCTTTTATTATTTTATATTAAAAACATGGTCCCCAAAAAAATAGTGTATCTCATCTCAGAACTTTTAATACAGTAAAAGTATTCATTAATGGAAAAATCCAGTAGATTACATCTTTACAAAGGTGACAAATATAAGAAAAGTGGGTGGTTTACACTTGTTGAAACTGCTATTTTTTTAGTCATTTTTACTTTTGTTAGGAAAAATAGACTGATTTTTTTTAACAGAATTTTTTTTTACCTAGGCGGAGTGGCACCTGTTTATAATCCCAGCACTTGGGAGGCAGGTTAGAGCTCTGTAAATCTGAGGCCAGTCTGGAGTTCCAGAACAGTCAGAGCTAAGTAACAGAGACCATGACTCAAAAAAAATTTTTTTAATTTAACAAAACAACAAAAGCAAATCTCTTTTATACATTTTCATAAATATTCAATCTCATATAATAAAAATTAGGAGTCAGGGCTAAGTTTGTGGCTGTTTGTTTACTATGCATAAGGTCTTAACTTTCATAGTATTTAGCACTATACACCAGAGGGAAAAGTGTATTATATTATCCATGTATTAGCAATCATATAAACCTTCCTAAGTTTTTCTTCCTAAGAGACATTAATTCAGGTTTAAAATATTTTTACTGCAAGAGACAATGTAACATAAAGGAAAATCACATACATCAAGTTCAAAGAAAAAGTCTTGTTCTTTGGATGCGATTTCATAATCTGCTCTTAAAGCCAGGTCATGGACTTTCAGGCATTCTCCAAGATCCATTCTCTAGGAAAGAAAAGAAGACATTACATTGAAAACATTTATCATAAAAATTTATCAACATCACTGTTCTCTTCAGAATGTATCTGCATTGTTTTGGAGCCTGTCCTGGAACTCGATCAGTAGCCAGGCTGGTCTCGAACTCATAGAGATCCACCTGCCTCTGCCTCCCGAGTGCTGGGATTAAGGGATTAATGCCCAGCTTCCAGAATGTATCTTAAGTCAATAGAGTACATTTCTTAATGGACCTCAAAAATTGATAAGACAATTAAAGCTGAGGAGTTAACTTGGTTGTTGAGTGCTTATCTGGTACGCTCAAAGTCCAAGGTTCAATCCCTTAGCTCCCCATAAACTGGATGTAGTGGTACAGACCTGTCATTATCAGCACTTGGAAGCTAGAGGTAGGAGGATTAGAAGTTCAAAGCCAAACATAGGTACTTAGCAAGTTCAAGACCATTTGTGGGGGCAAGAGAGTGTCTATAAAAAACAGCTATGAGTCTTGAGCCGGGCGGTGGTGGCGCACGCCTTTAATCCCAGCACTCGGGAGGCAGAGGCAGGCAGATCTCTGTGAGTTCGAGGCCAGGCTGGACCGATAGCCTCCAAAACAATACAGAGAAACCCTGTCTCGTAAAACCAAAAAAAAAAAAAAAAAAAAAACAGCATGAGTCTTAATAAATTAGTAAACGTACCAATACAATACACAGAATGAAGTGGACAGAAAAAGACCACTTGCCATGGTGCAGATGTGGAAGGTAGAGAATAACATGTGGTAATTAGTTCCCTCCTTCCACCAATCACGGGGATTGAACTCAGATTGTCACTGAGCCATCTCGTCACGCCCTCCCCCCAAAAATGTTTCTCATGAAGCAATTCATCTGTAAATTCTAGCACCTCAAGAGTCCCCGGCTGGGACTAGAGAGATGACACAGTGGGGTTAAGAACATTGGATGCAGATGGGCGGTGGTGGCGCACGCTTTTAATCCCAGCACTGGGGAGGCAGAGGCAGGCGGATCACTGTGAGTTCCAGACCAGCCAAGAGCGAGTTCCAGGACAGCCTCCAAAGCCACAGAGAAACCGTGTCTCAAACCCTTCCATTTCCAGGACCTACAAGGCAGCTAAGAATAATCTGTAACTCCAGTTCCAAAGGATTTGATACCTTCTTCTGGCTTCTTCAGCACGAACAAGACAAACATGCAGACAAAATACATTGGACTTTCTCCTTGTGTGCTACATGGTGTTGTCAATTTTAAAAATAAAAGACTCAGGGGCTGGAGAGATGGCTCAGTAGTTAAGAGCACTGACTGCCCTTCCAGAGAACCTGGATTCAATTCCCAGCACCCACATGGCAGTCTGTAATTTCAGTTCCAGGGGACCCAACATACATGGCCACCAACGCCCGGCCTTTAATGAGTTCTTTATTTGATTGATAATTAACTTTACATCTTGATTTTCCTCTTCTGATTCCCTTCTCTGCATGTTTTACTCTTAAGATACATGATCTCAAAACTGATCTCTCAAAATGTGCTTGCTTCTTGGGTCAGGATTGCTCTAATTTTTGGGGGGGGGTTTACGAGACAGGGTTTATCTGTATTGTTTTGGGGGCTGTCAGTCCCTAAAGTAAATTTTTAAAAATTTATTTGTCCTGGGCGGTAGTAGTGCATGCCTTTAATCCCAGCACTCAGGAGGCAGACACAGGTGGATCTCTCCAAATTCGAGGCTACCCTGGTCTACAAAAGAGTTCCAGGATATGCTGCAAAGCTACAGAGACCGTGTCTCAAACAAAACAAACAAAACTTTTGTTAGTGTGTGCATGGTGTACACATGTGTGGTAGGAGGTGTCAGGGTGCCGTGGAGGTCAACGAACAACCATGTGGAATCCACGTTTACAGGGATCCTAAGGGAGGCTGTCTGGCTACCAAACTTGCATAGCAAGTGCTGTTACTCATAGCCATCTTTGTCAGACCAATTTGTTTTTAGAGTCAGCCTTCTGGATTTGGGGATTGTGCTCAGTGGTAGAGCACTTACTTAACAAATGCAAAGTCCTGAGCTTAGTTCTCAGTCTAAAGCAAACCCCAAAACTACAACAAAAATCCAAGGCAGCTAAAACTAGTCTTAAGAGATTACCACTTTACTTACGTTGTTTAAAATTATGAGGTATAACTCCACCCTGTTATCTTCAGTGTCAACCTCATCTCGCCAGTAACTTAGCAAGACAGGTATTACAAGCCAGCTTCTCTGAATTCTAGAAACCTGCCATCTGTTTTCTTCCTCCATATCACCATGACTAAATACCTGCTTTAACATGGTATCAGGCATGGCATGGAAAAAGCAAACAACGTAAGTAAAGTGGTAATCTCTTAAGACTTGATTTTCCTCTTCTGATTCCCTTCTCTGCATGTTTTACTCTTAAGATACATGATCTCAAAACTGATCTCTCAAAATGTGCTTGCTTCTTGGGTCAGGATTGCTCTAATTTTTTTTTTTTTTTTTTTTGGTTTTACAAGACAGGGTTTATCTGTATTGTTTTGGGGGCTGTCAGTCCCTAAAGTAAATTTTTAAAAATTTATTTGTCCTGGGCGGTAGTAGTGCATGCCTTTAATCCCAGCACTCAGGAGGCAGACACAGGTGGATCTCTTCTAGTTTCTGTCACGTTATTTTAATTTCTGAGATCAATGTTATGATTACAAAGAGAGTCTAAACTTCCTAAGAAAAATGGTTGTTTTTCTCTCTAGAGACCATGTTTTACACTACTTATCTTGCCCAAACCATTAAACTTGGTTTGAATAGCAACTCCAAGAACTTAGCATGCATAAAAGTAAACGTATGTGGCCAGGCATTGGTGGCACACACCTTTAGTCCCAGCACCGGGGAGGCAGAGGCACGTGGATCTCTCTCTGTGAGGCCAGTCTGGTCTACAAGAGCTAGTTCCAGAATAGCCTGAAAAGCCACAGAGAAACCGTTTCGAAAAAGAAAAAACAACAACAACAACAAAACATGTATTTAAGTTTTAATGTCATTTTCTGGTTTAGAAAATAGAAATATTTTAAGAGCCTCTCTGCTGGGCAGTGGTGGCACACCTTTAATCCCAGCCCTCAGGAGGTAGAGACAAACAGAGCTCTCTAAATTCAAGGCCAGCCTGTCTACAGAACATGTTCCAGGACAGCCAGGTCTATGCAGAGAAACCCTGTCTTGAAAAACAAACAAAATTTTAAGTGCCTCTCTACAGGAGTTTAACAGAATATGTAACCATTAAAAACCATAATCTGGCCGGTCGGTGGTAGCGCACATCTTTAATCCCAGCACTCAGGAGGCAGAGGCAGGCAGATCACTGTGAGTTCGAGACCAGCCTGGTCTACAAGACCTAGTTTCAGGACAGCCCCCAAAGCCACAGGGAAACCCTGCCTGGAAAAACCAAAACAAACAAACAAACAAACAAACATAATCTGGGGCTAGAGAGATGGCTCATTCCCATGACCCAAAAGGTAGCTTTCAACATCTGCATGTAACTGCAGTTCCAGGGGATCCCAATGCTCCCTTTCTGGCTTCCAAGAGGACTCATCATTCATGCATACACCAAGGTATGTAGGGCAGAGCACCCAAAGACTTAGAAATAGTAAATAAAAAGCCAAGTCAAAGCCTAGTGATCCAAGCCTGTAAAGTCGGTACTAAGGAGACAGACAGAAAGATAAAGGCGGTCAACCCAGGCTACAGGCTGGTACTATCTCTAAAACTTACACTCGTGCTCGGTGTGGTGGCGCATACTTTTTTTGGTTTTTCCAGACAGGGTTTCTCTGCGGCTTTGGAGGCTGTTCTGAAACTAGCTCTTGTAGAAGACATTACATTGAAAACATTTATCATAAAAATTTATCAACATCACAGTTCTCTTCTGAATATTTTTTTTTGGGTGGGGGGGGAGCTTCGAGACAAGAGTTTCTCTGTATTGTTTTGGAGCCTGTCCTGGAACTCGCTCGGTAGACCAGGCTGGTCTCGAACTCACAGAGATCCATGTGCCTCTGCCTCCTGAGTGCTGGGACTAAAGGCCTGTGCCACCCTTGCCCAGCTTGGTGGCGCATACATTTAATGGCAGCATTTGGGAGACAGAGGCAGATGGATCTCCAAGTTCTAGGCCAGCCTGGCTCTAGACTTCTAGGAGAGCCAGGGCTATTCAGAGAAATCATCTTGAAAAAAAAAAAAAAAATCAAAATATTCCTTTAGCAAATGCTTCAGGAAGACTACACACCCAACACAAATTTTACACATCCTTGGCAAGTGGAGAAAAAGAGGCTGCAAAAAGACATATTAATAAAATATTTTCCTTATGTATATGATATAGAAACACATTACTCAACTAGTAATATGATGGGCATGGTATCTATTTAGTTCAAAGCCAGCCTGGCTAAACAACTTTAAGGCAAACAATGGCTGAGTGAAAACTGGTCAGGAAATGGGGCTGGGGTGGTAGGCACATTACTATGAGACGTATTTGAACTCTTTGGTGTGATTTTTCTTCTTGTTTATTTTGTTTTTAGAGATAAGGATTCTCTATATAACCCTGGCTGTCAAACTTTAGCTCCCAGCTGGTAAACTCTGGGCAGTATTAGTGGGTGTGGCCTTGTTGATGGAGGTCTATCTCTGGGAGTGGGCTTGGAGGTTTCAGAAGCCCACAGCCAGGCCCCATCTGTCTGTCTGCCTGTGGAGCAGAATGTAAAGAAACTCTCAGTAAGCACGCCAGCTCCATGCTTTCCTGCCTGTCTCCCTGCCATGATGATAATGAACTAACCCTCTCGAAGGGTTAGTTGTCTTGGTACATGGTGTCTCTCCACACCAAAGACAGAAACTAAGTCAACAGCCAATTGTCAACACCACCCAGTTATCTCCAGCACCATGTAAAACAAGATATGGTTCCATATGCCTGTTAGGGAGAGCAAAAAATGGAAGGCAGCTCCTAACTCTAATAGATGTGGTAGAAGAAAAAACTGTCTCCTGAATGTTTTGCGAGCTGTTCTCTATACATCTGCAGTGACATAAACATACATCATGCAAACACACACAACGATGAATTTAACAGTTTTTTCAGGCTTAGGACAGTCAAGGGTGTTTAAAAGGGTGTGTGTGTGGCTGGAGCGATGGTTCGGGGTTAAGAGCGCTTGTTCTTGCTGAGGGAGTGTGTCTGGTTTCCAGCACCTACATTGTGTGGTGGCCTACAAGCACCTGTAACTCCAGTTTCTTTTCTGACTTCCATTGGAACCAGACTCACACGTGGTGCACAAACATATGTACACGCAGGCAAAGCACTCACACATGAAACACAATATACCTAAAAACTTAAAGGGGGTGTGGGAGGATGCAATCTGTAAACCCCAGAGCTTGGTTGATGAAGGCAGGAAGATCTGAAGTTAAAGGCCATACAGGGCTACAGAACCAGTTCAAAGCAAACAAGGTTACATGATCTCCCATTTCCAAAAAGAAAAAGAAAAAAGTAACAATGAATCTGTGTTCTTATTTTCTACATTTATAGTAAGTCACAATTTATCCACTAAATAAAGTCATTTTGGTGGCTACGATTTCAGCTGGTAAAGTGTTTCTTTTACAAACACAAGAGCCTGACCAGGAGCCCAGTGTCTTAGGGTCGGTCACTCTTGCTGCGAGGAAAAGCCATGACCCAACACAACCTGGAGGACAGGACTCACTTCACTCACAGTCCCTTTCAACGGTTCATCCTCAAAGACGAGGGCAGGGACTAAGCAGGGAGGGCCCTCTGGGCAGGAGCTGTCGAAGGGGCCACAGAGAAGTGCTATTTCACTGGCTTGCTACTCATGGCTTGCTCAGCCTACTTTTATATAGAACCAGGACCAGCAGCCCAGGGATGGCACCACCCACAATGGGCTGGGCCCTCCCCCATCAATCACTGCCCTACAGTCCCATCTTATTTATGGAGGCCTTTTCTCAAATGAGGCTTTCTCCTCTTCCAACAACCTCAGCTGTGTCAAGCTGACATAAAACTAGTCCAGCACCCATGTAAAGTGACAGACATGGTAATCTCAGTGCTGAGGACATGAAAGCACTAGGATTCCTGTAACTCAATGGCCAGTAGTTTAGCTTATCAGTAAGCTCCAGGCCAAGATCCTATCACAAAGAGGATGGGGGATGTTTCTGAGGAGGACATCCAACGTTCTCTTTTGCCCTGCACATTCAAGTGAACACATGTGCAAACACACCCCAAAATGTATACATGTACTCATAAAAAAATAAATTTAAAAAACAAAAAATGTAATCATCTAATTTCCTATAAAACTAAATGTGGGAAACCTCTGGTTGCTCTTCCAGAGGACCAGGGTTTGACTCCCAGAACCTACATGGAAGTTCACAACCATTTAGAACTCCAATCCCAAAGTATCCAGTACCCTTTTCTGGCCTCCCATGTACAGGGTTAACAGATACAATGCAGGCAAAACACTCCTACAGGGCTGGAAAGAGGCTCAGAGGGTAAGAGCACTGGGTGCTCTTCCAGAGGTTCTGAGTTCAATTCCCAGCAACCACATGGTGGCTCACAACCATCTACAGTGGGATCTGGCACCCTCTTCTGGTGTGCAGGCAGAACACTGTATACTTAGTAATAAATAAATAAAATCTTTAAAAAAATACACTCCTACATATAAGTAAATAAGTGAAATGTGGAAAATAACAGTATTCTACAGATGAGAGATTTATTATAGATTACAAGTGGAGTAATACAGTAGGAAACATTTGATATGCAGTGGTGCATGCCTATAATCCCTGCAATCAGGATATAAAAAAAATTTTAAATGTACTTACAGAAACACTAAAGAATTAGTTTATTCTCAGGCTCTTTATCTGAGACAATGTCTCAATAAGCTCAAACTGGCTTCAAGCTTCAGATTCTTAAGGCGGGCAATGTGCTGCCCTGCCACATCTAGTCACTGCACTAGGCAGAGGCACTGATACAGTTTCAACTGCATTTCCTTCTAGGAAGTGACAAAGGTGCTCCCTGCTGCATGGGTACCTATGGCTAAAAGCACTCACTGCTTACGAAAGAAATCTGGAAACCCTTTCCTCACTCTAGATATTTCTGGCAAACGACAAATAAAATGAAGTCAAGATTTAGTCCCTAACAGTTCTCCATCAATAAATGCATCTGATTGCTCATTATAATTTCAATCAGATTCAAAAGTTAAAAATCAAATACTCTGTGGCATTTAGAGGTAAGGAATGCGGAGGGCTAACCCTGAACAGTGACCACCCCTTGATGTCCACTTCCCTGTGAAAGCATGCCTCTTCAGAAGAGAAGAGGAAGGAAGAAAAAGCACCTGGCACAGAACCCCAATTCCTCCTTAACAGAGGTGAAACACCCAGGATGCTGTAAGATCACCCTTTAGCACGCGCACACAATAGTTTTGTGTGTTGGCTGCTGCACTGTGCTCACTCTGTCAGCCTACAGGCAGAAAGGCAAGACTTACAACAATGTTCCTTTAGGGGGAAATGGTACTCAAAGCACCCTGAATCCCAAATCCGTGGCGTACCATCCCAATATACATATTTTGGATTAAAAAATAAAAGGGGAAGAAAAGAACAAAAATGAAACAAACAAACAAACAAAAAAACTGCTCTTGGTCCAGTTTTCTGATTCAAATCTATGATTCCAGAACTTGGGAGGGTGAAAGCCAAAAGGATCTCAGTTCAAGGTTACCAATTTGAAACATCAGATACTACCTCAAAAAACAAAAAACACAGTCAAGCAGTGGTGACACACCTTTAATCCCAGCACTCAGTAGGCCAGCCTGGTCTACAGAAAAGAGTTCTAGGACAGCCAAAACTACAGAGAAACCCTGTCTCAAAAAACCAAAAACCAAACCAAACAAACAAAACCAACCAATCAACTACCACCACACACACACACACACACACACACACACACACACACACACACACACACACACACACACACACACACACACACACACAGACAGACAAAGTAGTGATCCTGGGATTTGTCTCAGTGGTTAAGTATGTGCTCCAAGACCCGAAGAAAAGAGAAAACAAGCATAACAAAACCAACAGAGGAGTGGTGAAAACAAGACAACTAATTCTGTAAGGAAATCCACTATTGAAAATTTAAATTATCAGTGGGAATGAGCAAGCAATGAAAGGAACACAAATTTGGGGGGGGGGGTTCCAGACAGGGTTTCTCTGTATTGCTTTGGAGGCTGTCCTGGAACTCTCTGTAGACCAGGCTGGCCTCGAACTCAGAGATCTGCCTGCCTCTGCCTCCCGAGCGCTGGGATTAAAGGCGTGTGCCACCAACGCCCGGCTAACACAAATCTTTTCTAATGCTGTTAATAACAAGACTTTACCAAGAATTATTTTTGTAGCACACAAGTAATAAAACAACATAATAACCACGTACAGTTCCAGAAAGGACATCATGGGGACAGCAGTTGAGAAGGTGGCTCTTGCACACTCTGTCATCGCTGAATTTGATTCGTTGTCGAGTAGTATCTCCTGTAATATAGAAAAGTTAACAATATTCAAGGTTAGACAACTAGACAGTGTTTATATTTTGAAAGTCCTAGTTATCACTAGCTTTTGGTGTTTGACTATCTTACAGACACTATACAACAACCCAGGAGGGATTAGTTTTTTATATACCATCCTATAGAAAAACTATTTTAGACAACATGCAGTTGCAGTTTATGTACTGCAAACGTAATTCAAATAAAAAAGTGGGAAAGCAAAGCATTCTGTTAAATAAAAGTACTTCAGAAAAGCATAGGATTTACAGCAGGAATGGACTTTATAGGTTATCAAGTCCAACTCCTTCATATTGCAGATGAGGAAAATGAGGCCCCCAAGAGGTTAAGCAACTTGCAGCAGACCCACCAAGAGTTTCTACTTGTATACAACGGTCTCTTGACAGTAAGCACTAATTCATTTTGTAATTATTTACATTAATTGAAAAACATAAAAAGTAATCTTGCAAACATTGCATACACACTGCGAATCCCCACTGAACCCCAGACGCCATTTCTTCCACTATTTTGTTCCAGGTGAAGTGTCTCCCCTTTGCTGCTGGGAGGAGTTAGAGGGTAGAGTAAGGTGTCTAAGAGCGTACAAACCTGGAAGAAGGACTTACACACCGTCAATCAAAGGCACATCGCCTAAATGAAATGTTAACTTTAATACCTCCAGATTCCACACTTCCAAGTTTTATGTGGTCTGTGTTATACTGCCAAACCAGGCAAAATAAAATACATTCTATGCTCATATAAAAAATACAACTCCTAAACAGAAACAACCACCTACTTATCAAACATATCAAAAGCTTAAAGAATCTAAGAAAAGAAAAGGTAACTAGATAGAGTAACAAAATACAAATGTTAGTCACATTTTTTTTTTTTTTGGCTTAGAATCTTTGAAGAAATAAAAGAAAAACTCACAGGGTCATTTCCTCTACACAGAATGGTAAGCCCTAAAAAATGTGGTTTAGCCTTAAACTGATTATCACCGATAAATGAAAACCTACTAGTGAATTACTGAAGCGAAAACTGTTGAAACAAACTAAAAGATTGTAAATACCTCTACAGTTCACATGATACCTACAGCACTCCAAACATTTTAACTAGGAAGCAATTCTTAAATTAAGCTCTGTATCACATGTAAATAACAAAAAAATAAAAAACCATTCAAACTTTACCCCCTTTAAGTGGTCTTATATTGAAGAGCTTAACTTAAAGTCAACTAAACACTATGGGGTAAGATTTTGTTCAAATTGTTTTAACTTGGTTAAGAAGATGTAAAGAACATTCTGATTTACAACTAGGAAACATACATTTCTAAGAAAGATAATTTGCTAAAAATCATAGCTTCAGAGCAGTTTAACAACAGGTTTTGTGAGGCTAATCTCTAGTAGGTTGTCTGTGACACAATTTGGAATAATGCATTTAGTGCTCAAGCCTGCTACTATGTTACTTTGATGGACTTTATTCCTTTTAAACACATCTGCTTCTGTCCCACATCCATTAACACATCTGAAAAGTTAGTGATAACTCACGGCTCGGCGAATGCGGGGCCTTTCTGAAACTCCCTTGCAGATTGAAGTAGGCAGGCATAGATACATTGAACCTTTACAAATAAAACAAGGGGCCAGATTGTTCAGTTTGTATAGAATAGACCCTGCCAGCAATTTCAATACAGCACCTAGAAGTACATGTTGACTGTAAAGATTCTTGTATATGAAAACAAAAGTGAACAAAATCAGAGTGTTCGTTTTTTATTTTGTGTTTATAATACTGACTTAACAAGTATAAGCCCAGAGAAAACTATGACTGAAGAGAACTAAATCCCAAGATTGGAACTCTACAGGTGGCCCTCGGGCTGCATGAGAAATGTTTCTTTAAAAGTATGTTTCAATGAAGACTAGTGAATACCTAAAGCTCATATGAAAACCAAGCTACCATAAACTCCCATCAGAAAGCTATACTATAGAAGCTTTTTGATCATAGAAAGACTTTGTTTAAAACTCTACTGTAATTATGTCAAGAATTTTAAAAGTAATAAATGTCTAGGGTATGAGGAGCATTTATAAATCTAGAAATTACCCTGCTACAACTATCTAAGCAATGTCAGTTCAGTCTATTTTAAAACATGGTTCATGGGTAGATGGGGTCTAAGTGAGATCTTAGAATAAAGTTAAAATTTACAGATGTTCATTAACCAAACATCTCCTCTAACAGGGTGCCCATTTTTGCTTAAGAAATCACACTAAGTATATAAACAAGGGATATATGCACTGAAGACACTATCAGATAAAACATGAGTAATTACAAATATAAACATAGTAACAGTAGCCCTAGTGAGCTTTAAAATAATGAAGGAATCAATTTCTATAAATGCCAAAAAAGCATCTAAAATATGTTACTACAAATAAGCAGGTATTCCATAAACATTTGATAACTGCAGCAAAAATATCAAAAATAGCTTTCAAATATTAGCCATTATAAAAATCCTTTTACTAAAATAATAAAAACTAGTAGTTCAAGATGAAACAATACTCTAAGAAGGACATGTGTAAGTAAGGTTCTGTCTATTGATATTTTAAAAGTTCTACTTAGGAGAACTTTATGGCTAATATTTTAAAGAAATTTGACTATTATATTATAAAAATCACACAGCACTTTAATAAATTCGGGCTTTATGACATAAGTATAATTTAACTACACAATTTTAAAACAGAAGTGCTTTAATTTCTATCTCTGTCACAACATCTGGCCCAAACCATGTTTTTCAAAAGAAACCAGGTAAAATAGAGCCCACTTAAGAAAAAAGAAAAAGACTATAAATAGGGACTGGATATGAAAAAAATATCCTTATAATAGAGGATTTTATCAATTCAACATGCTTCATGTATTTGTTTCCTGGTAACTGAATCATACAAAAAAAATCTGAGTTAATTCCCTTAATAAATTCTCACATATGTTTACAAACTAAATTATGGGGGAAACTGGCCTGTCACAGTGATACTAGTTCCTAATCATAGAATCAAGCCTATTAGTGACTCTAGCCTCTGTGCTACAAAATGAAGTAACAGAGCTTAAAACAAATGTTCTGCTCCCAAGGAGCCCACATTTTCACTAGAGAAATAGGAAATATAAATAACAGTAACACAAAATAACATGATCCAAGTGTCAAAGGGATGTTTTTGAACACACTAGAACTATCACCAAAAGGCTGGGAAAGGCTTCCTGGAATAAGTAGAAGCCAAAATCTGAACACTCCAGATAAGACTTAGAGGAAAGACGAACACTTTAGATCACAATATTATCTTTGACAAAGTTTACAAGGGTTTGAAAGTCTGGGGAACAGTAAGTAAACTGTAGTCAGCTTTGGCAAATGGCTGAGTATGTCTGGGGAATACAGAGCCATAGGTACAATTTTTGGATGGTGAAATTTGGTTAAGATCTTTCTTCAATTCATATTTACAAATGAACTTTACAACATTTACAAAAGAAATTTTGAGCTGGGCAGTGGTGGCACACGCCTTTAGTCCCAGCACTGAAGAGGCCTCCAGAGGCAGGCAAATCTCTGCAAGGCCAGCATAGAGAGCAAGTTCCAATATGGCCAGGCTACACAGAGAGAAAACCTTGGAGGGGGAGCATTTATTTTTAAATGAGGCAATAGATTAGATCAAGTTTAGTCAACAATAAAAACAAAGTATTCTACCTATAAAAAGTCTCTCTTCCCTATGACAAAATAAATTAAGCTTTATATGTAATCACAATGCAAGATTTTAGAATAAGCAACTAGACCTTTTTTTTTTTTTTAAGGCTGGGTCTCATGTAGCTCAAGGGGTCCTTTAACTCATTATATAGATTTAAAACTACCACAATTCTGATGTTTCTGCCTCTACCTCCCAAGTTTTGGGGTTATATAGAAGCCTGTACCACCAGGTCCAGTGAGGAATTTCAATTTTTGAGTAGCCACAAACTTTTCATTTGAATAGAAGTACAAAAAATGTCTACTAATCATGTCCACCAAACAACTATTTTCAGAATGACAGCTTCACGGCCTTCTTTTATTCAATCTCTTCTTGGGGGTCATCAATTGGAACACTTAAGACAGTTGGGCCACAAGTACACAAAAACTGAAATGTTTAATATATGACTCCAGTAACCGAACCTAAGGTGGTACTGAGGCATTAGTTCACTGGGTATGAAAGGTCTCTAAATTCGGGTTCCCATTCAACCTGCACTCAATACTGCTCTCAAAACTCCCTTCAGTCTGCTGTGAAGGAAAAATGAACCCCACTGTAATACCCAATATGGAATTATGATCCTACAATTTGATATAAATTTTATTAGCACATAAAACTTTGGTCTAAGTGTTATCTGACATTGTACACAGTGCATGCTATTTTCCCAAAGCCCACCCCTCCCCCTCAGTTTCTCCCACCCACTCCCCCCCCCTTACAAACAATAAACCAAATCAATTTTCATAAATTTAGGTGCTATTTTAAAAACATCAAAATTTTACTTTACCCATTCTCTCCGATGCTCCCTGTATTTTTTTTAAGCTGTGAGTGGATGACCATGCTATGTGATCAACAACTGTGAAGTTAGCAAAAGTGAACTGAGTTTAGTACGGTAATTTCAAAAAAACCTTAAAGTTTGTAATACTTGACACATTTAATAGTATGCAGAATCCTATCTTACTGTTTATCATCAGGCATTAACAGCAAGCAATTTATAAAAGCAGTCAATATTTCTTTGTACAGATTCAGCTCAGACCTCAGCTTAGGGAAAACAAGGAGTAGAGCAGGAAATGCATCAGCATATAAAGTAGTGGAAATATCCCATGTCTAGCAACAAAGGCAGGGACAAGAAAGCTCTCTCACATTTTCTAGTATGACAAGCGAAGTGTCCACCACCACCACCATCTGTAGATGTGTTTAGGATCTTTTATCACTCAGTTGACTTGGGACACACAGGCTCCTTCCATCTGAAATAAGACCTACAGCCCTTCAGTGACAGGAAAGCTAGAACCAAGTATAGAAATGAAAACGAGTAGCTTCTTGTTTGCCTAACCTCTCTTGAATCCCCAAACACAAAGACAAACTATCAATACTCTTTCTTCCAATATAAGCTGCACATCCATAGAATAGTGCAGGAATTACATAAAACCCTATGGCCAGTTTCTCCTCTGTCCCAGAGCAAGGAGATAATTTAAGAAGTGCACAGTTAAGCCCTGTGTCTTCACATGAGTTAAGGTGACTGCTATACTGAGGAGTCAAGCAATCTGGTCACCCTTATAATGCAGTCCTCCCTACGCCTTACTTACCTCACCTATCTTTTTAAGTCACTTAACGTTCATCTATGTAAGCCTTTTTGCAACTAGTTTTTGCATTTGAGACAGAGAAATTGGCTTAGCCTCTCAAATGCTACTTTGGGATCCTTCTGCCTCAGTCTCCCACAGAACCACAGCCAGCTTGTACTTTTGCTTTTACTTTCTGTGTATGAATTTGGCTGACATGTATGAATGTGCACCACATTTGTGCCTGCTATGCCAGGTGGGAAGAGGACACAGAACCTCCTGGAACTGAAGTCAGACAGCTGTGAGCTGCCACGTGAGTACTGGAATCTGATCCAAGAGCGGCTGCAAGTGCTCACAACCACTGAGTCACCTGCCAGCCCTAATGACTTTCTCAGGGGGAGGGAGGCAATCCCCTGTAGCCCAGGATGCCTGGAACTCATTATGCAGCTGGATGACTGGATTTCTTCCTGCTTTCACCTGGCGAGTGTTGGGATTAGTGTGCATCACCGTGCCCGTTTTTTGTAGTTACTTTTAATACTTATTTCCCCCTTCATTCTACCTTAATAAATGTATTCAGTTTGATCTATTGTATATTTAAGCAATTTACATTGTGTTTTATAAAAGGACTCACAACATCTTAACAATATAATCAAGTATTTTTATACAAAAGCAAATAGCTATGAGTCTTCCAATGGAATGCCAAGATATTTGTTTCTGAATGTATAAATCCACACTTAGCAGCCAGGCGGTGGTGGCGCATGCCTTTAATCCCAGCACTTGGGAGGCAGAGGCAAGAGGATCTCAATGAATGAGGTCAGCCTGATCTACAAAGTGAGTTCCAGGAGAGTAAGTATTTCACAGAAAAACCCTGTCTCAAAAAAACAAAAAAATTCAAATACATGCTTATTTTAGGAAGAAGAAAAAACTTCCAGAGAGTAAATATTTTGGGGAGCAGAGGAGAAATGGGGGTTGGGAACAGTTTCACTATGCAGCCTGGCTGGTCTCACTTTCTGTCCCAGTGCTCCAGCTTTTGGAATTAAGAGCACGCACCACCTCTAGCCAGTAATTTCAGTGCTGCTGTATATGATCAGAGGCTATGCTGTTTTACAAACTTTTAAAATCTAAATCACATGTATATGAAAACCCATGCAACAAAATTATTTTTTTTTAAAATGAAGCTTGAGAAAATGCTTACAGCAAATTTAAGATGCTAATAGTAATGATGGAAATATAAAAAGAGAAATTCTAAAGAAACCACATTCAAGGCTACATTTCACCTACTGCCCAACCTAGTCTTCTCATTATACAAAGCAAAGGATCCTGACAGATAACAAAAAGTAGTGCCATTATATTCTTGGGGACATCTACTTTGTTTATCAGCATGCTTCGCTCCGATTTAAGAGACATTACAAAAGCCTAAGCTGCTACCTAAGAATTAAACTACCAGTAGGTTAACACAGGCCAGGCACAGTGCCTCATGCCTACAACCTCAGAATCTGGAGGCTGAGGCAGTAGGACTGCCATCAGCCTGACACAGCAATACTACACAGGGAGTTCTAGAGCAGACTTGGGATCAGTTCTGAATGTGGTTATCAGAACACATGTCAAAAGGTGCAGCCTGCTAAACTTTATTTTGACCAGAGTCGTAGGTAACACTTGTATTCTAATTGCTTGGTGCCTTGTAGCTAGAATTTTCTACCCCTGGCTTTTTTTTTTTCTTTTGAGACAGGGAATCTCACTATGTAGACCAGGTTACCCTGAACTTATGATTCTTCTGCCTCAGCTTCCCAGCTGCTGGAATGACAGGTGAATAGCACCACATACAGATAAAAGCTATTTTGGAGAAATAGCTGAAAAGAACCAAAGATGATATGATTGGTTGTTTTGTCCATTAAAAAGACTCCCAAAGAGTTGGATGTAGTGGGGCTCATCTCTAATCCCAGCACTCCTGAGGCTGTTCCAGACTTCAGGACTCAAAAAAACAATCCAATCCCTAATTGTTTGCAATAACTATAAACATCAAGAAAAACATCCCCAAATCAAAAAAACAAAGGAAAGAAAAAGAGTACTGCAAAACAAGTGAACACCTAATGACAATTTAAAATAAAAACATAGTAGCATCAGGAAGACTAAGTGAGCCTTGAAGCTACACAAACAGAAAAACTGTTCAACACACATCACAAGGGTTGCCTCTGGAGACCGCCATACTTTTTAAAACCTGAACAAAATATACAAAGTACTACTTGCTTTTTCAAAATTAAATAACCATAATCAGTATTAAAAATGTCACTTAAACATAAATGTTTGTAAATACTAACAGACTTCTGGTCTCTCTAGGATTACTAGTAGTTCAAGCACTGGGAGGTTGAGGCAGGAGGATGACCTAAATTCAAGACAATTTGGATGAGAGAAACAAACAAACAAAATGAAGCAAATTCACCTCAAATTTCTAAGAAAAATAACTTGCGATGCAGGCAGGTCTGTGAATCTGAGGCTAGCTCCATCTATACAGGGATTTCCAGACTCACAGAGTAGCTGAGACTCCCGCTATCAATGAATTAGACAATCAACTAAGCACTGCAGTGGGCTGGAAAGCTGGATGCTCCTGCAGAGGCGGTCAAAGTCATTTCCCACACCTCTATTAGGCAGGCCACAACTGCCTAAGATTCCAGTTCCGGGGGATCCAATGACCTTTTTCTGCCCTCCTCTGGTACTGTATACATGATACAACACAGAGAAAAACAGGCATATGTATGCAAATAAATTTAAAAACAAAGAACAAAACAAAAATCCACCAGTCGTAAATATTCCAATATTACAAATTAAATTGTGACACAAATTTATCATACTATTAAGTTTCTAATGTCTGAGATAAATCATCTCTTTCCTACCAAGAATGCCCCTCTCAGCCAGGCAGTGGTGGCGCACGCCTTTAGTCCCAGCACTCGGGAGGCAGAGGCAGGTGGATCTCTGTGAGTTCGAGACCAGCCTGGTCTTCAGAGCAAGTTCCAGGACAGCCTTCAAAGCCACAGAGAAACCCTGTCTCAAAAAACAAACAAACAAACAAACAAACAAACGCAAGCATGCCCCTCTCTGTCCCTTTCCAAAAATCTGAATCATGCTCTCCTCAGCATTTCTGTTGCTGTGTTCCCATTTCACACTGCCACTGTGTTAGTGACATCTTGTAGAACCAGTGACTCTCATGAAACAAAACACTAGAGAAAAAAATGAGAAGCCAAGCTAAATAATTTCATTCTGCAGGTCTATATGACCTCCCCAGAGGTGACTAGTTTGCTATTTCTGGTTAGTCCTTTCTACTCATGGGTCTGGATATATGCTGGATATATACTGGAAAATAACTTTATATCTTATATGAATACCTAGAACAGTATTTTCCAAAATACGGAACTGACACAAAATGATTTAGGGTGTTCTTCAATTTCATAGCAAGATACTTACCACATAGTAAGAAACATTAACTCAAGGATAAAGTTTCTAGTTGGCAATATTATTCTATTTAATATACCTGACAAATTCTAATATTTAGCATATGGAATTCTAAGGGACAAAAGTCTAATAACTAAGCTGAGCATGGTGATGTATCCCCTTAATCCCAGCATTTGGGAGGCAGAGGTTGGCAGATCTTTGTGTTGAGGCCGGCCTGTTCTATATTTAGAGTTCCAGGCCAGCCAGGGCTACACAGAAAAAAAACCTGCCATAAAAAAACAAAAAGAAAGAATATTAACCTAAACAGTTAAAAAAAAAATAAGGATGGGGAAACAAAATTTATCTACAACAGGGTTTCTTGAATTTTTAAACTGCATCAAAACTGTAAGAGTAAAGCATGGTGTCACATGCCTGTAATCTCAGTACTCAGGACACAGGGAAGAGTTGGATCTCAGTTCCAAGTCAGCCTAGTTTAGATAAGGAATTTCAAGCCCACATACACTGTCTCAAAAAAAAAAAAACTGAAAATCATCATAAAACTTATTAACGTAATTGCTGACCTCCACCTCAAGAATAAGAATTTGAGCTGGGCATGGTGGTATTCGTCTTTAATCCCAGCAGAGGCAGGCAGAGCTCTAAGAGTTCTACAGAGCAAATTCCAGACAGCCAGGGCTACAAAGAGAAACTCTGGGGTTAAAAGGGGGGTGGGAGGGGGTTGAATTTCTAGAGAAAACAAGAATAACTGTGGGACACACTGTGAGAACAGTAGCCAACAAATGTTAATTTGGTGGGTTTGGGGGTTTGAGACAGTCTCATTCTGTAGCCCAGGCTGACCTCAAACACAGAAATTCTCCTGTTCAGCCTCCCACTGAGCTGGATTACAGGCATGAGTCACTATATCTGGTCAAATGGGTGTTTATTTGTAAAATGCTTGCCGAGAATGCATGAAGCCCTCAGTTTGATACCCAGCACCACATAAAACTGAATTTGACAGGCCATGACTATAGTTCCAGCATTCTCAGGACAGAGACAGGAAGATCTGAAATTCAAGGTCATCCTGAGTTAGAAAAATTCCTTCTTCTAGGGAGCTGGAGAGATGGCTCAGTGGTTAAGAGCACTGGCTGCTCTTCCAGAGGTCCTGAGTTCAATTCCCAGCAACCACATGGTGGCTCACAACTACCTGTAATGAGAGCTAGTGCCCTCTTCTGGTCTGCAGTCAAGCATGCAGGCAGAACACTGTACATAATAAATAAATCTTTAAAAAATCCTACTTCTAAAAATAAATATGTTCCTAAAAAGCAGGAAGCCATAGATAGAACTAAACCTTTACTTAAAGCATCTTCAAGCACTAACTGCAAAGGGTCTAATACATAGACAACAGGACAAAATACAACACAAAACTTGGTACAGTATGCATCCTCCATAAATATCCACACACCCTCTTCAGCAAAGTTTTGGATAATTTAAATATGAAAATGAGGTCTACAGAAATCTAAGGTCTCAAGAAAATAAAAACAAGCAATTTACCATAGTCTTGAGACAGGACAAAAGATTCAGCAAGGGCAGCTGGTAAAATTCTTTTCACGGTGAGTCAAATAGGTCAAACATCAGTTGTACATGGTTCACAACTAAATTAGAACATATGGGTCAATAGAGTGTTTTCTATAAAAAAAATTAAATTCTTTTTCTGGCCAATGTTAAGAAACAAAATATGACATTTAATCAACTGTATGTCACTTTCTGATGCTTTTAACTCAAGTTACTCTGCTATATCAAAAACATTATGTAAACTTTAATTTTTAAAAAACTATGTCCTCTACATCCTCAATAATCCTACAAAATTCATCTATTTTAGCCCTGACTTCCCACTTCTACCCAAGCAACTGCTAGTTGCTAGCAAATGATCATTTAAGCCCAAAAGAATGGGAGTAGGACACGGCCCACGCCTGTAGTCCTGGCTATTTGGGAAGCTAAGGTTAGAGGATTGTTTGAGGACAGGAGTTCCAAGACCAGTATAAAACAGCTGAAGCAACAACTTCATTGCTAAGGTGCTTATCTTACAAGTACAAGGACCAGAGTTTGATCCCTAGAATTCATGTAAAAAAAAGTTATCCACAATGGTACACACTTGTAAATGCCTGGAGAGACACAGGCAGGTAGATCTCAGGTTAGGGTGACAACATCAGAAGCTGTTCTCTGACCTCTAGACACACATACCTGCATTCACAAATGCATGCATAGACACATACCCACCCACACCCAAAAAGGAACAGACTTGGGGGGGGGGTTGCTAAAGCCATTAAGATTCCTATCGGAAACTTACCCTGTTTCTTTCTCTCCCTCATTTTTTTTTCTCCAACAAGATGTTGCAACTTCTTTCATCTTCTTAGTCTACACTTTCTTTGTAGACTCATTAGGATGGGTAGAACTGTTTGTTTCCACAAAAGCAGCAGCACAGACCCACTTCAGGCATCTCTTTTTAGTTTGTAACCTAGGCTCACCTCAAACTCACCATCCTCCTGCTTCTGCCTCCCAAGTGGTAAAGGATTACAGATGCAATCCTTCCAGGTTTACAATTTCACCCTTTGGGGGGGGGGGCGGAACTGTTCGCTTGTGACAGGCTCACTCTGTAGAGCAGCTGACATGGAATTCTAGGTACTCTTGCCTCTCAAGTGATGGGATTACAGGTCCGTGTCACTATGTCCAGATGGAAGCTCATCTACCTCAATTACCTAGTCTTTCCACACTTACTGACCTCCATTTAGTGTTAAGCCTTCTATATTCCTGTTCAGGCCCACTGCTTGTCTGAACCATCAGCAACTTCAAATTCCACTGCAAGAAGCACGTTACTGAACACAGATTCAATGAACTTGAGCATGGCCGTGGCACACACTTGCTCTTTACCCTTAGGTGACAGCCTTCTTTACCAAGAAACATGCCTGCCACTTACATACAGTGCTTGCACATACACACAAGGTAAGTTTTACCTGAAATATTGTCTCACAAACATAGGCTTACTTGAGGAGGGCTAAACAACTGCAGAGATTCCAAGACAACAGGGTTCTATGAGGTGAGGTTTTTATTGTTTTCTGGACTGCTCTGTAGATAGAAATATTATTTAAAGTTCAAAATACAAAATGGACACGGGAGGCTTTAACTGATTCACTATCCAAGTGCTAACAGAGCTTAGAATGTTTTGGAGATTCCTGAACAATGACAAAATCAAATAGTTACAGACACAGGAAAACTGGCTTTGGGTTTGCTAAAATTTCTTACGTTAAAGAATGTACATGCTCTAGACTATGAAATATTCTATTATTGCGTTAAAATGTGTACTTGTACATTAAAGGCGTATATACCTTTTACTTAAAATGAAATGAACCAAATATGATTTTAAAAAATGGCTTACAACTGACCAAGATAAGATTAAGACGAAGAAAAAAATTGAGATTATGTGTGTTGATGACAAGAGAAACAAAGTACAATAAAGATGTTTTTACAGATAACCCATGGGGAAAACAAACACTACAAATCTCTGATTCGATAATTTTGCAGAAAGGCAGTAATGTTTTACACAGATATAGGTGTATTAATTATTATTAAACTTGTGTTAGAAACAGATAAATTACTTTCTGAGCTGCATTTTCCAAGGTGCGTTACCTAAATAATTATCCTATCAATCTTTTTTTTGTTTTGTTTTTTTTTTTGTTTTTTCGGGAGACAGGGTTTCTCTGTATTGTTTTGGAGACTGTCCTGGAACTCACTCTGTAGACCAGGCTGGTCCCGAACTCACAGAGATCCGCCTTTCTCTGCCTCCCAAGTGCTGGGATTAAATATCCTATTCATGTAACTAATTAGCAGTTAAGATTAGCATCCTGCATTAACTGATTAAGTATTATCATACAGCTCAGGAAAATTACTAACAAATAGCAAAAATTATATAATTTTTTGTATGTTTTTGGTGTTTTGTTGACTAGGCTTTTTGAGATGGTGTCTCAGGAAGCCTAGGGTAGCCTCAAATTGACTATGTCAGCTGAGCCTGGGACACTCCTGATCCTCTTGCTTCGTCCTCCCAAATGGATCCCACGTGCAGCAATAATGATCTACTCCTCCAAGAACACTGACTGACAGCCCTGACAGACAAAGCAGAGGCCTGTGGAGATACTGAGCCGCTCAAGTACACTTTATTCCCCAGGAGAGGCACAAGGGAAGGCAGGCAGGCTGAGGCACTCAAGACTGAATCTATAGGTCGCTGCACATGCTAAGAAAGTGCTCCACCACTGACACACATCCCCAGCTGTGGGCAGCTTTAGTCTCATCAAAACAACCCATCATGGATGATGCCATACAATTTCATTTCTATGATCTACACTGTGGGTCTGTAGGTTGGCTTCAAGACACTTCGGAAAATACACCATCATTCCTGGTTCATTTTTACCTTTCAGAAATGGTTTGTGCTCCCACCTAAAGCAATTTTAAAACATGGTACCTTCAGAACAACCTTGGGCAACTTCACACTTCTATATTTAGGAGGAAATCTAGGCCCAGGTTCAGAGCTTCCCTAGCATATACAAGGCCCAGAGTTTGATCCCTACCACTGGGGGTGGGGATGGTAATACAGCCCACCCCAATTTTTTGTTGTTGTTGTTGTTGTTGGTTTTTCGAGACAGGGTTTCTCTGTATTGTTTTGGAGGCTGTCCTGGAACTCGCCTGGTAGACCCGGCTGGCCTCGAACTCACAGAGATCCACCTGCCTCTGCCTTCCGAGTGCTGGGATTAAAGGCGTGCGCCACCAATGCCCAGCCCCCAATTTTTTTTTAATTCACATTAGTTGTACCTTCCTAAGTCTTTCTGGAATCATGGTGAGAGACTTATAACCAAACTAAGCGCTCACAAAGAGGCTTTATGCCAAGGGACATTCTTGCAATTAATCCAATCTAATCAAAATGACCATGGTCTGTCTAAGGGCACTGGACTGCTTTCTCTCAACTGCCACAAAAACTATTCTCAAAATGCTTCTTTAAATTCCCTATGTGAGCCGGGCAGTGGTGGCGCACGCCTTTTTAATCCCAGCACTCGGAAGGCAGAGGCAGGTGGATCTCTGTGAGTTCGAGGCCAGCCTGGTCTACAAGAGCTAGTTCCAGGACAGCCTCCAAAGGCACAGAAAAACCCTGTCTCACCAAACAAAACAAAATTCCCTATGTGGTCCTTCCTGCTATCATATGGAATATGTTCAGGGAAAACAAATTATCTCTCTTTTTTATACAGAGATTTTTTTAAAAATGTAATTAATCTTTAAATTTGAGATTAAAATACTGTAATGGATATCCACTTCTAATTTTTTTCTTAAAAAAAGCTATGTTTATTCAACATTATTTAGTGTTAACACAGAAAATTATATGGCTTCCCATATAACAAATTACAGATTTAACTTGAAGCAAAAAGGTTTTGTGACTTACCCAAGCTTCTAATTAGAAACCAGGTCTCCTGAGTCTCAGCCCAGTGTTCTTTTCCTTAACTTATGATGTCTTATTAGAAAATTCCAAATATAGACAGACCCCCCAGTTACATGGGTTTGAGTTACACTGATTCACATATACAAACTTTATATAGTGTGACCAATGTTTCAACTCACGCGGTACCCTGCTTCCATTTATGCAGTATGCCAGGCATCGGCACGATTTTCAGTGGCACACAGGCGGTTGCCACCACCAGGGCCCTAGGCAAAATTGCAAAGAAGGCAAAGTTTGTCTTTGGCCCTCCCATCTCCCTTATTCATTTCTCTCCCACCTCCTGGTCATCCCCCTGCCCAACCTCCCAATGCCACCATGCTGCCCTTCTGACTGTCCAAATCCCACCCCCCAACAGGGACTATCCTTTCTTAGAGTGCCCAATAATCTGAGTTCCCTATTTTCCTACCACCTTAATTCCTATTCCTAAGGATCCCAATGAGGTTTGAGTCACCTAAGTGACTAGCTGATGTAAGCAACTTAAGATGCAGTTAACAAAGAGTCCCTACCAATTTAAAAAGGAATTAAAAACTTTTAGAAAAAGGGAAGAAATCTTTGGAAAGAGGGAGCAACATTTTCCCAGAGACCCAGGATTCTTTTACCATTTCAGAATCCTTCACAAATTCAACACTAAAGGATAAGGGTGTAATTGCCACCTTAGGCACCACTGCCCAAAATAATCTATTCAATAGTCTATAGGGACAAACAAAAATAAAGCTTTAAACACACATCCTCACCTACCTTCTCCATCTCTCTCCCACTTTCTGGGTCCCCATTTCCACCTCTTAAAGTCAAACACACAGCAGCATTTTTGGGAAGCTGTGTGTGTGTGTGTGTGTGTGTGTGTGTGTGTGTGTGTGTGTGTGTGTGTAACAAGATTTTCCACTATGGTTCAAATTGCATGGTACTATTCAGTGATATACCTATGCTTCCCTATCCTTAGATAACTTAAGTTTACTGTATGCCAAAAAAGTAATTAAAAATTTTGATTTTATTTCAAGGCTCTGAATTACAAATTCATTAAGCATGTGATAAGAAGACAACGTGTTATATTATCTTGCATATATGAAGGAGTAAGGGTATCTAAAAAAGTTTTTCTTTTTTGTTTTATTGAGCTAAGGTCTCACTGCACTACCACACCTGGGTAAATAAATACTCCAAGGTTTCTTTCCACTTTACATGTAGTTGCTCCTTTTTTGTTGTTGTTGAGGCAGGGTCTTGCCCTAATTCAGACTAGCCTATAACTATATAGCCTAGGCTATCCTTGAACTCAATGAAATCCTCCTGCCTCAGCTTCCCACCAGACCAGAACTGATGTTTCTTCTGAACCAATACAGCACTGAAAATCGAATCATTTCAACTAAATACTATTGTTTACTCAAAAGCAAGAGTTCATCCATAAATTCAATTGGTCTACGGGGAAAAAAAAAACAGTGACAGAGACAAATATAACTTTAAATACAATGAATTTTAAGAGTCCAGCTTCCTACTGGGATTAACACAGAAATTTAAGCATATACATACATACTGTAATAGTTCAGTTTTGCAACGCTAGAGGGAGGGGCTGTTAGCAGAGAAATGCTACATTGAGAGGTCACAGTTACCTTCATCAAGCTACCCTCTGGAATAACATAAGAAAATTCTATCTATACAAAAGATACCAAAAGTGGCATGCATCCAAATTAAAAAAGGCTGCATAAAGCCTCAACGTTTCTAAAATGTTATTACAAAGATGGACTGTTAAGATCCTCTAAATACCCTCCCTCATGATGGAAAAGGAATATGCTAAGATGTTTTTGTTTTGTTTTTTTCGAGACAGGGTTTCTCTGTATTGTTCTGGAGGCTGTCCTGGAACTCGCTCTGTAGACCAGGCTGGCCTCGAACTCACAGAGATCCGCCTGCCTCTGCCTCCCGAGAGCTGGGATTAAAGGCGTGCGCCACCAACGCCCGGCAGATGCTAAGATGTTAAGACATGCTGCAATCATAAACATTCTCACTCAAATATGAAGTTACATTATTCCAGTGGCATTCTAATTAACATAGCTTTCAAGGGACTGCTTACTACTCCCGAATCAATCCTAATTTCTTTTCAGTTTTCCCTCCTCTACAGAGTAAATCTGTTCCACTCCATTTATCTTAATGTTCTAATAAAAAAAAGTGCCCAGCTATTAAAACTTAACCATTCATTGAAAGCTGTATGAGTGCTGCTGAAAAGATTTGAAATAAGTTTTATCTTCTCCCGTATTTTTCCACAAAGCACTCAAGCTAATTCAACAGGATTTACACTAAGCTAAGTTTATGTTTGCCTTTTCTAGTAAGTCAAATTTAACAAAAAAAAAATTTAGTCGCTAAGAAACTTTCCTAAACGAATTTTTACAAGTCAAGATTTGGATTGGTATTTAAGAAAGTGCTGAACTTTATTTTGAAAGTACAATACTAATTATCCCCCAAAGGCAACATTTCATCACTTTAAAAATTATCTAGAACAAACGATAATCCAACACGTAGAAAACTCTCTATAAGGATTCTAATCTAATTGAATTTTTTAAAAAACAGGTTCCAAAGCTACATAGAAACCCTGTCTCGAAAAAAACAACAACAACAAAAAAGCCCTTTTGATTCCTTCAATCGTACTTCAGTGGGCATCAAAATAGTTCTGTTTAGGGCACATTTAGGGTCATTTACTAAGAAAGCCTCTATTAAGTTATCTAACAAAATGGAGGTCTCTCAGAACAAAAAAAAAAATAAACCTAAACACTTTTCTACTTACAAAATGGGGTCAAACACACCCACTTTAAGAAACCATGGTTTGGGTCAGATTTTCCACCAAATTAAAAAAGAAAAAAAGGACTTTGTAGGGCTCGACGAAACGTCCCTGGGACTGGGGGGTTTTAGTGAAGGTTTCGAAGACGTGGGAGGAAGGGGATGCTTCTCTCCACCTTCTTGGAGGACGGCGGTGATCCGAAAGCCCGGGCGGGGTAAAGGAGCTGGGGGCGGAGATCCTAGCGCTCCGCGGGTCCCTTGACAACAGTCAAAACTGACCACCCCACTACGCAAAGACAGCCTCGGGATCTCCCAAAACCCAGGCTAAGTCACCAGCAAAAAAAAAAAAAAAAAAAAAACCAGCACAAACTCTCCTTTCTGCTCCCAGGCCCCGCCTCGTCCCCATTGGCAGCCGTTCCCGCCAATCCGCGCGGGCACCGCCCCGAAGCTCGCCTGCCGAGCCCTGATTG